CCTGGAAGAAATCGCGGTTTTAACGACAGGGCCGCCTCTTGTACACTTTCCTGTTATTGTATTGTTTTTGTCTTCTTTTGTGTTTGCAATAGAGTTTTATTATTATACTCTGTGAAAATTTCTACTATCTACCTTTTACGATTCATGAGATACAACCCCCCGACAGACGGACTGACGGACGGACGAACGGACAGCGGAGGCTTAGTAATAGTGTTCCATTGGCACCATTCAGGCACGGAACCCTAAAAATAATGAATCGGCTTACTTTTATAAGTTAATTAAATATTACACCATTAAGATCGATAAGTCATTAATTGAAAACTTTGTTTCCGAAAAAATCTACCCATACATAATCGCTAAATTAACCAGTTACGAAATAAACTACCAATCGATTGTTATAATTATAGTAAATGTAAAAATAACGTTCTCGTAACCGCTGAAGAATATTCGTAATTTTTCTTCGTCTTTTTGTATTACCGGAGAACCGGAAACCTAATAATAACTCAGCGCATACGAGGATTTTTGCAAAAAGTTAATAACTAGCGTTCGAACTCGTGCTTCAAAATATCAAGAAATGAAATTAATTGCCTTAAAGTAACTTATAATCTTTTGATCGCAGGCTACAAATCTTATTTAAACGTAAGAGCACTTTGTCATTGTATTTTTTATGACCGCCATTGATTAGATTTGAATGCCTAGTTTCTTTTATTCACTTAAAATGCAAAAATATTTGCTTATAAGTTTTGTATATAATATATTAGAATTGTATATATAACTAGCATTTCCCGCGGCTCCGCCCGCGTTCAGATGACCAAAAACCAAATTCTTTGGTTTTACATTAGTATACTCTTACATTGCAGTTTTTGTATTTTTTTCTCAGAAATGAGATATTTTCCCGCGGTAAAAGTATCCTATATATTGACCCGGATAACCAGCTATCATCTCACCAAATTTCATCAAAATTCCTCCAGTGATTTTCCCGTGATGCGGTAACAGACAGACAGCAGACAAAAATTCTAAAAACTATAGATTCGGCCTTTGTATCGATAATAATGTCTATTTCAATAAGATTTTTCCAAAAAATATTTAATATAGAGATTCGGCTTAGTTACAATTTTGTTATATGTATAGATAGGTACATGTTATATTTCTAGATCGATGTTATTTAAAGAACTCAAAAAATTATTCAAAAGGTCGATTCTTGTTATTATCTGAATGACTGAGTATTGTATAACAGATTGTGTAATAGGATTTTATTCTCATAAATGTGTGAATTAGCATTTCGATCAATGTTATAGGTATATTAAGTTGTCGTTTTATGTTTAACTGTACAAAGTTTTTTTTTCATTTCTGTACGTAAATTTAAACTTCTTTTTATGATTTAAGACAAAAAATATGAAAAAAATAGTAAAATAGATAAACTGGAAATTAATAAATATTTTTCGAGTGTGTAAATAGTTTTTGTTATAAAAAATATTTTTCATTCATTATTAGTAATGTATTAAAGAAAACGCGGCCATTGTGAAAATAACTTGTTAATTGATTTGTATTGTGTTGCTATTAAATGAACAAATGACGTATATTTAATGAACTCTATTGTTTAGTAGAATTTTTCCGTGCCACCTTCTTTCTGTCTTTGTACTTTATATAGTTGCAATTTATCGGAGATCTTAATTTCCATTCATCAGTTTTTTTTTATTTTATATGTTTTAAATATATTACCCTGGACAAAAGAATAAGTATTGGCCATATATAAAATGTATAATATATTCCGTTATAGAAATAATAAGCGTGTAATTTATTACGTATCTATCTGATATTCAAATTCACTTTCATGCTTTAAAGTTTCGATCTTTCGTCATAGTAATTCGCTAAAAGTAAAACCCCGAAGGAGTCATTTGATAGATGAAACAAATATGCTAATATTGACATAGTTATACGCTAACGTGTCGCACTGTGACGCAGAATATTATGGTAACATAAATTAAATTAAGATATAGCCTCCTTGAAATTTTCAAGTTCAACCTGAAGGAGTTCTTTGAAGTTGGTAATAATTAAGCTTTGAAGTAATCAATACCTAACATATATGCATCAAACCTAATATTTTTATAACTACTAAAAATAGTTACGTTTTTTTTAATATAGGTATATTCTGTTCTGAATTACGTACAAAATGTTTTTTATACAATCAGAACACTATAAAGAATCTTATTGTATACTAGCAATGCCCGCGGCTCCGCCCGCGTTCAGATGAACAAAAACCAAATTCTTTGGTTTTACATTATTTTACATTAGTATACTCTTACATTGCAGTTTTTGTATTTTTTCTCAGAAATGGGATATTTTCCCGCGGTAAAAGTATCCTATATATTGACCCGGATAACTAGTTATCACCATACCAAATTTCATCAAAATCCCTCCAGTGGTTATTCCGTGATGCGGTAACAGACAGACACACAGACAAAAATTATAAAAACTATAGATTCGGTCTCTGTATCGATAATACTGTCTATTTCAGTAAGATTTTCCAAAAAATATTTAATGTACAGATTCGGCTTAGTTACAATTTCATTATATGTATAGACTAGGAGTATTTAAACATGTTTTACAATAATGTATGGAAGTCTGGCCGATTTGTTGACATTTATGATTACTGCTCCGCTCCCTTGGGTATAGCACGATGTTATATGGCCTATAGCCATTCTCAATAAACGGGCTATCTAATGCAAAAAGAACTTTTCCAATCGGATTAGTAGTTTCTGAGATTAGCGCGTTTAAACAAACATTTATAATATTAATATAGAATTTATTTATGTTAATTTTTACACAAAATTATGTAAGTTGTAAATACTTATTTAATTATATTTTTTTTGTTTTATTTAGAGAACTCTTGAGTTCTGATGGTATAACATAAATGACGTGTTATTCTTTATCATGACTGCAGATATGTTTGTAGGATAATGAAATTACATAGTTGCTTGTGTATATTTAGATTCACATTTCTCAACCACTATGCGGTTTCGAAGCCAATCGCTATTGCACCACCTAGTGTTTAGTAATGCACTGTGAATTATTCAAGTGAAATTATTCAAAATATTGTATTTCTTTGTCCTTAAATATGATCATATTTTTTCCCATTTTTTGTTCTTTAAAGCATTTAATACGTGTAAGTTACAAAACTACCATCACTAAAAGTATGGTTGACATAACTATATACCTAACCGGTACTTTCTTAGTCGCTGAGCAAAATATCATAAAACTTATTCAAATTGATTCATTAACCCAAACATGCTATCATCTGTTTGTAATTTTATTATATTAAATGTCCCGTTACAGGCTAAAGATCCTTTGTCGAAGAATTTCGAATACGAAATGAAGGTTATATTTAATTATTTACGTATTAGTATTATAATAAAGTCTACAAAAATATTCTTCAACAAATATTACGTAATTTGTAGTAGCAAATGAATATTAGCGAAAAGTTATAGTGTGAAATAGAAATGACAAAGTTTAAAATATCTGGCGAGATCACTTTCAGCTGTCTTGAGTAATTAATCTAATGAATTAGATAGTCGGGCAATCCATCAGATGACAGGTGTGGTACTCTACATATATCCACACATCAACTGGTTTAACCACTCACCTGTACCTGCTTGAGGAAAGTCAATATTTAACTTCCAAGAAATTTTGGATTCTGAATAATTTTAACTAGTTATCGGATACATTTTAAAATATTTACTTAATGCATAATGTTTCGTAATTTTTGAAGAAAAACATTTTTCGAGGAGTTTGCTCCTCGAAAAATGTATTTCTTATACACTTTTTTAATAAGAAATTGTTCGAATTTTACTAATTATCACAGCTCTTAAGGTGTGTACCTTAATTTTGTGTACATATATATTATTTATGTATGTACGTATGTATAACTACTTGGTGTATCATATAGTATAGTTTGAACCATAAAAAAATTATATTATGGCATGCAGGTTATTAAAGATTATGTACAAAAAAGCAAATTACTACAAATAATAGATACAATGAAATCTGTAAACAAACTTTTCTTTTTCATTATAAAGTGAAGAAACAATGAGGCTCTACTTGTCGGTATGCAAATAATAGTTTTTGCCATAGTTCAATTCAATGTGACAGATTGTATAAAGTTTCGCAGATTTCGCATCAATTCAAGTTGCCAAGCTCTAGAGTGTGATTACATCAACTACGCTATTTACGATACCATTTTGCATACTGGAGCATCCTCACGTAGACTTTTAATAAGCCAACATTGCTATATATGGCAAACTATACAATCTAAATATAGAAATACTGTCTTATCTATTTTATCAATAATCTATACTTTATAATGTTATATTAGCTATTTTTAAATCGGAAAAGCTTAAAGTTGTAGAATATTTGTGAACAATAATAAAAACCTGCAGTTTTTATTGATATAATATTGGCGTATTAAGTAAACAAAGTTCATAAACATTTTTATTAATAAGTTTAAAATGATCAATCACGATAGAATGCCGTCATAACAGACATAGACGAGTGGTCGCGGTCGCCTGCCACCGTCGCCGCCGACCGCCGGTTTCGACTTACAACGCGTTGTGAATTAAAAATTACATTTACTTCTCAGATTACAGTCTTTATATGTCGCCTGTCTGTCTACACTAGTCTGTACAGTCAGTTTCAACCCACAGATTATCTATTTTGCGACCATTGATACTAGCCTGAACTTGTGACATTTATGATATATTTTATAAACCAATTACTTACATAGCATCATCTAATAATTCATAACATGATGAGCCTTGAATACATCGTTGAGTGCGAGTAAAAGTTTTCTACATACATATATAATGTGCCAATTTACTAGGACTTGATGTACCATGCTGTAACAATTGTAATTTTACGGTCCATTGTTACTTTATATTTAGTCTATAACATTATAACTTGTTGAAATCTTTCGCTATTTTTATTTCTCGAATGTTAATTTACAGGTGGAGAAACCAGTCACAGAAGGGCTTTCCCATAGAACACGCGATCAGTGGGAGATAGACCGTTTATCTCTGAAATTCGTCCGGAAACTAGGGCATGGACAATTCGGTGAAGTTTGGGAAGGTTTATGGAACAACACAACACCTGTCGCTATTAAAACACTCAAATCGGGTACAATGGACCCGAAAGACTTTTTGGCAGAGGCTCAGATAATGAAAAAACTTCGACACAGCAAACTTATTCAATTGTACGCTGTGTGTACTCTCGAAGAACCGATTTACATCATCACTGAATTAATGAAAAACGGCTCTCTCTCGGAATACTTACAAGGTAATGAAATTTGGTATTTCTATGGGTTTTCCTGTATTATGAGATACGAGTTAATTATTGTAATTAATTATTATGAGTCTTATAATTAATGCTGGCCTATGACAGAACAATTGCAAACAATTAATTTGAAAATGAAAATAACTTTAATTTTTTTTTGATAGCGTAATTTAGTATGTGTACTGTGTAGGTGTGTTTGTGACTTCTTTACACTACAACGGCTCGACGAATTAGTATGAATTTCAAAAATGTGAAATCTTCTTTCGTTACATACAATACTTACATCGTTTTTATGAAATTTACGTACAGTCACGGGCGATAATTAGTAATTATAAAAAAATCTTTCATACCTTCACAGGTAAAGGTCGTGGACTAAAACTACAAACACTTATCGACATGGCGGCTCAAATTGCGGCCGGCATGGCGTACCTTGAATCGCAGAACTACATACATCGTGATCTCGCCGCGAGGAACGTGCTCGTCGCTGAAGCAAATATCGTCAAGATAGCCGACTTTGGACTGGCGAGACTTATTAAGGTAATATTAGTGTTAAATTGCATGATTTGCTTGATTTACTGTGTTTTGTTTGATAAGACTTTTATGGATTGGTTCGACGTTGGTTTCAAAGTTAGGTCTAGAAAGTATAAAGTAGATAAGATCTGTTTCTAATATTATCATATTTACTATTCGTATTCGTGTGTTCTTATGCAGTCAATATATTCACATATATATTCCCAATTTTTGTTGTACGTGTGTTATCTTACTTTATGATAATAAATCAAGATGTTTCTGATAATTTCGTCATCTGCATACTGATTTGAAATTGATTAAATATACTTGATAATATAGCACTAATTAATTTATCATTAACAAAACTTTATATTTGGACACTTTAAATCACAATTTACAACCGCATTATTAATATATATTTACATCAAATGAATGTATTAAGATATACAATTAGCTAGGTCACGTGGAGGCAGGATACATCTCAAGGACCAAGTCACATCTTAATCTATAACGTCATAGGATTGTTCACCAGAATCTTAAATACAAATAGTGCATTATCTAAATTATTCATCAGTAGATACTCGCGGTCGGATAGCAATTTTAATTAGTTATTGTTATCGCAAGGCCAAAACCATAATGGCGGAGAAAAATCAGTCCAAACGTCATTATTCTTAACAAGGCAAAGAAAACTAAGCAAAAGCCGTTTGTCCACAACATTCTAGCTCACTTCATTTCACTTTGAGGTTAATCACACTGGGTGGCAAAACCCATACCGCAATGTTTAGTGCCGTTAATAGATACCACAAGTTTTCTACTGAGTTGTTCATAACTCAACTATTTACTTGTCCGACACAAAGCTACCATGCATCAAACAGAGCTTTTTCTATTCGGCACGTCGATTTCGTGTCTATTTTTTGACTAAAGCCGATATGACTGCCTGCAAACGTTATAGTTAATAGAAATCTGAAAAATATATTAGATATAATATATCTATGACATATTTCGACAATGGCGTAAAGCTTAGGATATTCCTATTCATTTTTTTAGTTTTCTCATTAGCGATAGCAATTGCTAAATATCAACTTGATTATAATCTGTGTGTCCTTTACTAAAGGTTATGTCACACGATGCATTTAATTAACTTTTTTAAAGTTTTGTCGGTACAACAAGGCAAGACAAACGAATGTCGGCGTGTAAGAAAAAATAGAATGGTCTCCTTTTTGGGTAAGACTGACCTTACCGAGATTTGCATGCATTTGCATTTGCGAATTGCGAGATTAAGTGAAAAAATTCAGCGTGAAATCAGACTTCGTACTCTATATAGAAATCTGTATGTACCGCCATAAGTTTATGCAATAAACTAATATCCCATCAAATAAACATACATACCATAATTTATATTTACATATAAAATCATATTTCACCAATGAATTCTTGCTCGGTAACATAGAAAATAAATAACACATTATTGTAATAAGCAAAGATGTTATTTGTAATGCAAATATAATATTTTATTATAATTTGCCATGTATCGTTTTAGTTACATTTATTCCAAATAGATGCTGTTTGCGTGTATTTATATATTATGTCTATCATTTTGACTAGACTAAAAGTAGCTTTAAATCAAACTTTAATCTATACATATAATAATCCGAATCTGTACATTAAATATTTTTTGAAAAATCTTATAGAAATTGTCATTATTATCGATACTGAAGCCGAATCTATAGTTTTCAGAATTTTTTCTGTCTGTCTGTTACTGCATCACGAGGAAACTACTGGACAGACTTTGATGGAATTTGGTATGGTGATAGCTGGTTATTCGGGTCAACATATAGGATACTTTTTACCGCGGGAAAATGTCTCATTTCTGAGAAAAAATACAAAAACTGCAATGTATACTAATATGAAAAACCTAAGAATATGGTTTTTGGTTATCTGACCGCGGCCGGAGCCGCGGGCAATGCTGGTCTATAATAAAAATAGTAGAAATAAATTTTAGCTTTACAATGGTTAAAAATAAAGAGTTCTAGGTCTTGAACCCATGAGATTTTTCCTTGTTAAACAAACGGTGCTTATTTTAAAATTCCATAGTATTAGTTTCCTATATTGGTACTTAGTATAAAATGTTTAATTAATTAGTATAAATTGTAGTTATTATTCTCCTGACGAGTATTTAAGGAAAAAGGAAAATCTTTTCAAAGGCTAGTTTAAGATTAACATTTAAAAAATAAAAACCGACTTCAAACAAAAGCACTAAAAAGTAAAAAATAACTGATTGGTAGTTTTCATTTACTATACATACCTAATCAAATATTTTCGAAGTCGGTGTGCTTTGCTTTGTATGGGCTGGCACCGATTTTGAAAATATTTGATTAGGTATGTATTTAATAGGTAGGCTTTAATTACTTAGCCATGACAATTAGAAGTAGGTTAAATCCATCATTAGCTATTTTTCCACCCTTAGGGGTGTTTTTTTTTTAATTTAAATGGGACCAATCTGGATATATACCCTTTCAAACAACACAAAAATTGTCCAAATCGGTTAATAAATTTCGAAGTTCTGAGGTAACAAACATAAAAAAAAATACAGTCGAATCGAGAACCTCCTCCTTTTTGAAGTCGGTTGAAAATTAATTATGAAAATGTAAATAAATACTCGTAAATAAGTGAAAGTAACAGTGCGCCTACTTGGAAATAACAGAACACACATTTTAATTTATATAAGTGTGATTATATTATGCATAAATTACGTCACATGACATCTTTAGTAAAGCATAAAATTTTTACTTTATCGCACGCCTCCGCACGTGACGCAAATCTCGTGTAAAACCGCATCTTATAGTCTAAAGTCTAAGAATATATTATAACTAGCGGCTCACCCTCGCTTCGCTCGGGTTCGTCGCTAGGTACGTTTTAAATAGATATAAAAAGAAAAAATCTTTCTTTCTCACATTTTAATTATATGTTTTAATACTTACCTATTCCGGACTAAGAGAAATCCAAAAATTAAAATATCATAAAAATCTGAACGCGGTCGAACGGGATAAAAAGTATCCTATGTCCTTCTCCTGGCTCTAAACTACCTCCCTGCCAATTTTCAGCTAAATCGGTTCAGCCGTTCTTGAGTTATAAGCGAAGTAACTAACACGACTTTCTTTTATATATATAGATTACATTTGCATCATTATTACGAGTGTTCTATGTGACAACATTTTGATTTGTTATCAATATTGATGTGCATATATCTTGCATTTTGCATTAAATTCTTTTGTTTTCTTGTGTGACATGTGTAAATATAGAATAATTCTAGTATATATATGCAAATTTATGATACGTTTTTATTATAATATTTTACTACAATTCCAATAAATACCAACTAAAACACTATTAAAAGGTATAAATAACCCCACACTTAACTAAGCTTGTAGAATATATTATATAGAACATTACACTCATGCTGATCGCGACGAATTACATATTACATTTATTATGTCGTACTTTAAGCGGTGAATAGAGAAATACAAATTAAATATATTTAATGTACTGAATGTCGGCGGTTTTTTTTTGGGAAGGTTATGTATCTCTAATCTTATATCTTTTTTTTGGTATTCAGGAGGACGAGTACGAAGCTCGCGTAGGCGCTCGATTCCCCATCAAATGGACTGCACCCGAGGCGGCTAACTATAGCAAATTCTCGATCAAATCCGACGTGTGGTCTTTCGGTATTCTCCTCACGGAACTGGTGACGTACGGCCGGACACCATATCCAGGTACTTTTTTTGTTATGTATAAATCTTATTCTTAATTGATTGAATTGTTAAAATTTAGGTAATATATATATGGTGTTTAATATTATATTAAAAACAAAAGATGTGTGTGTACTTATGTGCGCATGTAATAAGTTATACTTCTTTGGCGTAACAGAACAAAAATAGCTAAAGATTTCATGTCACAACTCTCTGTTTGTTAAAGGAATGATAAATTAATAAATAAGGCGTATTACCATCATATATTTATAATAATAATATAATAATAATAATAATAATAAGCCTTTTTATTTCCTTAATTTAAATTCACAATTAGTTTAACATTATTAGGTTTTGATTTGATTAGATAGTTGAATATTTATATGTTACATAATAATTCAATGACTAACTACATAATTATAATGAGATACATTAAGTTATAATCCAAAGAAATTATATCTAGCAATTTTTTTACATAATCTATATTAAATTTTAAATTTAATATAGATCATATATTTATAGAATATAATAAATGGAAAGGATATAATAATATTATATATCATTTGTCAGACAATAACAACGGTTACCATGGCAACAAACAGTGATCAGCTAACTTCATCATGTCGCTTTTTGGTTGTCGGTGTGCGCGCGCATCGTAAAAATTTTACTCTCATATTTTTTTCCAAACGTCCCAAAAGAAGTATAACTTCAAAAAAATTATAATTTCATAATTTAAGACAACCATTTAATTTAATTGAAGAAAGTAGAGTATCCTGAACTAAGCCAATTTAATTTCTTTCTACGGGATGGGATTAGTAATAAGTATACAATTATATAGTTTGTGATTCCTACAAACAAATTAATAATGATTAATCGTATATTCAAATATCATTTATCATATAATTGGTGTGATCCTCGTCCAGGCATGTCGAACGCGGAAGTTTTGCACCAAGTGGAGCACGGCTACCGCATGCCGTGCCCGCCCAACTGTCCGGCGGCGCTCTACGACATCATGACCGAGTGCTGGAACAAGGACGCCTTGAAGCGGCCGACCTTCGAGACCCTCCAGTGGAAACTGGAGGACTTCTTCACAATGGACAACTCCGAGTACAAGGAGGCATCGGCCTACTGAGCCCGGCCCTCCCTGCCGCCCCACCGACACGCACACGCGCACGCGCATCACGTATGTAACACGTTACACCAGCGGTTCCAATTTTTTTTTTGCCACGGAACCCTATTGTATTCAGGAGATGGTAATTTATATGGCCGTGTGTCATTTTTAAAGCATTAAAATCGACTTCTAAGAAATTATTCATAGGGCAGATATTTCATTGCTTAATAATTATGTTTTATAGAGTTGTGTCTAATAATCAAGTTAGATAGTATATTTATACTTGTAAATCCTAACTCTTATAAGAATGCTAGTTAATTTAAACTAAGACTTACACATATATCATATGAAATAACTTTATGAATTACCTTACAGACCCCCGGTTTATATCACATGCCGCCTGAGCTGCAAATGCTGCACACGAGCGCATCAATGCAACACCTACAGATGCACCACCCGCTCCCACTGCCGCATGCTCACCCGCACGGGCACGGGACGCTCGCCCACACGCATGCCCACGGTGCCCTAGCACACGGTGCCCTACCGCACGGTGCCCTAGGCCACGGGCATGCCCTACCCCACGCGGCAACGCTCAGCCAGCTGCAGCAGGTCAGCCTCCCGCTGTGCCATCGCCACAACACGATGTATCGTGCGCCCTAAGTGCCCTACGTGCCCGAGCGTCTCGACCCCATCGCCTTCATCATAGGCTCTATGTTCCATGCCCACGAGCTAGAGCTCCTCGACCACAACGTCTTCAATCCCCTCTTGATAGGTCCTACACTCTATGCCCTAAGTGTAAGTGCTAGGGCCTCGACCACGTCGTCTTCAAACCCTCGTCAGTCATGATAGCCCTACGCTCTACGCCTGATGCCCTACGTGCTAGGGCCTCGACCACATCGCCTTCTCCCCATCGAACCCCTCATCAGTCGCGATACACATTAATACATAATGAATATGCTAACTAGTTGTTAATGGAATTGTGTAAGTGATGCAAGAGTTGATGTTGCTTAGATCATCTGTTATATTAATTATCTTGGCGAAGTTTAACAGATAATGTGTTTTGTGTATCAATGGTGGTTATCGTCATAAGTTATGGCGGTCTAAGCAACTCATCTATGATGATGTCCGTATGTCGTTTTGTGAAAATGTAACTACAAGACCCTTATGTCGCACGCAATCATTGTTTCCACTTACATATAAACATTCACTTTTAACAACATCCAACAATAAATATTTAAAGTGATAAAATTATCTATGCTCAATTTAGTGACGTTTATATATAAATAATATGAATAATGCGTGTATGTAATGAAAGACTCGGATTGCGTGTGCGATGTTCGCATCATACACAATTTTAGTACTGAAATATAGTAACGCTGACATGTCAGACCCACAATGTTGACGTAGCGGATAAGTTGTAATGGTACTGTCGATGCGAGGATGATAAAATTGTTCGTACACACTGTTAGACACGTTTTAGGCGGCATTTAAATTAATCTGAAAGCATTTAATATAGAATAGAATGTAATTTTTCAAAAAAAAATTATTTAAAAATTTTACTAAAATTTATAAAAAAAAATCAAGAGACTTATTCATATTTTTTCGGATCACTGTTGATAGTCTATGTACACAATTTTATTACGCCTCGATCGATAATAAGTTTAGTTAGACTGCCTACAATTTTTCTAAATGTATTTAGCTTACGATAGGTTAACTTACAAGTTCTATATCGAATAAGTCGTCAATATACCTTTACCGAGGACACTGCGACACGATCCTTAGGATAAATGCTGATTTTATCAGACGCATCCGTGCTTTTAGACAGCTATAACTATGAGTTTAAACTAATGTTTAGGTTCAATACACACGGGCGACGATATGTTCGTTAAACGCAGTCCAATACCTTAAGTTGAAGTTAAAGGCCTTTTTTGAATGAGTAGCTTCGAATTAGTTCAGTCCACTTAGTTTCGGTTCGAGGCAGGCGTCGCAGCGGGACGCGGGACGCGAGACACGAGGCGCGGGCGCGGGCGCGGGACGCGGCGGGACAGGGCGGGACGGCGCGAGTGTGCGTGATCCGGAGGAAATTTAGGTTCGGCAGGGATTTTATTATTACTAGTACTCGTGACGAATTATTATGTTCGGACGCAACGGATTGGATGCTTTAAATTAAACTATCTTTTCGGATTATTTCGCGGATTTATTTTTATTTCTACTTCTAGATTTCGAATGCTTTACACCAATCATGCTCACGAGAGAGACTAAAGTTTTAGATGTCGTAAAAGTTATGTTTTCTTTAAATGTGGGTAACGAAAAATCCAAAGTAAATCCGCGAATAAATCTGAAATGATAGTTTTATTTAAAATGTCAAATATTCGCGTAAATGTTAAGAATGGATTAGGTACTCTCACCCTCGGACACCGAGTGTAGTGTAGTGTGACCGTAATGCGGTGAAAGATGCCAAAATAATCCTATTAAAGAACTGAATTTTATATAGATACGTTATTAACTGTTCTGAGGGTATTTAGTTGTGTACTTAGTTTACGCCCTGACTTTCCTATATGTATTTATTGTGTTAGGTATTCGAGACTGCTACGATACCTCGATTGATGTTTTATTTGTGCCAATACTTTAGTTTAAGCGAAAGTGTAAGTTTGCCACAAATAATAAAAGCGGTTCTTATTTATATTAACGATTGGCCTAAGGAATGGATATTTTTAAAATATATAGTAGGTTTTGTATTCGTGTCCTCACAGTAGGTTAACTTATTCGACTCGACGGTTTCGTCCTCATTTGTTAGATGTGCACGTCTGTATGTATGTATGTGCAATATTTATTATATAATGTAAACCGGTGCTGGTTCCCGGAGCCCGTTTACATCCTCAGAACATTTAACGCAATTAGTAGTATCGATGTGAGCTTTATTGTATCGATTATAATTCCAATTTTTTGATATCACTGCGACATCATGCAGATTGTTTTGTGGATTTCTCTCGCACCGTGTAAATAGTACAGAATGTAGTTTCGCTTTTAAAATACACAAGTGATATTAGAATGTCGTGATGAAACTAAGTACTGCCATGTAGTTCATTCTTCCAACCATTCCAAGCGCAATATTTTATCTCTAAAAATTTGTATACCAATCAATTTGTAATCGCGATAACGTTTAATATTAAGACAAAAATGGCGCACAAATACGTAGATTTCAAATTTCATACGAAATGAGGTGCCTCGTAAATCTATGTACATGTTTACGTCACAGCGTTGAGTGGCCATGTTTGTTCGTAGCATCACGTGCGCGAGACGATGTTGTTTCAATAATAAAAAAAAACTTTATTACTCGTCTAAGTATCATTATTTATGAATGAACCTATCTTTTTTAAATATTTAATGTATCGAAAAGATATTGATTAGTCTATTTATAGAAATATTTTCTTAATCGACTCGCTCACGTGGTCATTGATATACGTATCGCAATGTACGAAGTTTGAAAGAATGGAAATGTTAGAACGTAAATATCATACGTTTGTATAAATTTTTATATTCATAGTATAAATTAAGTTTTAACTACAATAAGTTACGTAACCGACCCCAAGACGACTATTTACGCTATATTATTTGTTTAATTTATTTAAACTTTTAAGTTGTAGGTGTGTAAAGCGCTTCGCTACTCTAAAGCGAACGAGATAGCAATAATGTATTCGTATTTTATCCTTAGTTAGCCAATTTTAAGTAACGTATTAAAGCGTCATCACAACTACGGAAAGATTAGGTAGGATAGATTCGAAGGAGTGTTAGGTATATTATAATCTGATTATATATTATATAGCTGTTGCCCGTTACGATTTGACCTTGATACTGTGACGCGAGTTAGCTCTTATTACCTCCGAGTATCAATTAAATGTATTTTAAGTTAGCGTCTGGTGTTACACGGCTGATTGCATACGACGCTATTCATTTTGCCCCCTTTAGAGCCCTCGGTATCCATTTTTATATGTATCATAACAATTCACATTGGCAGTGTAATACCAGCGAAGTATGGTTATGATTATTGTATTTCACTTATTTGTAAAAAAAATTTTAATACAACAATAAATATAAATGTCAAATATATTTTGTTTTTATTATTTTCTTTTATCTTACGCCTTCTCAATTTAGCCGGTGGTAAGTCTACTTGGATGTATCTGTGCCTAAATGTACTGTGATACTCATAGTTTGCATAGAACAAATATTTGCTTTGGCCATAAAAATATAAATCTAAAGCTAGGCTCATTGTTTATAATAAACTAGCGAACTAGATTGCTTCCCCATACAAACTTTCATCCCCATCTTCACTTAAGGGATGATTTTGGGGATAAAAACAATCTCATTCACTCACTCGCTTTTCATATAACGTGATTTAAAAAAAACTTATTTTAGTAAAAAAAGAATTCTTTAAATTTTCTTCTATACAAAACTTCCTGACAATAACAAACACAAAGAAAAAAGAATCATCCCATTTTGGTGCAGTCGATCGGAAGTTTTGCGCGTACATACATTTCTGTGATTCATTTTTACTTGATACCGTGATCCGTCCCGTTTTATCCCGATATACTATTTTGTACAAATTTCCCCTACAAATGCCTAATCCCATGATCCGATACTGCGCAAATTCGGTTTTTTGAAAACTATAATAAAAATAAGCATCCTATATTTTATCTTTTTTTTTTACATAAACTTAAAAACAAATGGATACTCGATACGTATAATGCCATCTATTGGCATTTATTTGAACTATTTTTTTCACTGTTCCTGGTGAGACCCCATGGTAATACATTATCACTATAATTTCACATTAAAATATATAAATTAAAGACATAATAAAGTTAAGAAATTATATTTTTTAACTGTTCATACACTTTTGTTAATCTATTTTTATATTCATCACTAAGTATGTTTTCTTTCACTTGACTGAGTTGAACTGCGTTATTTTCCAATGCAATTATTATATCTTCAACATTAGTATCAAATTTAGCTTTCTTCTTATTAGGTTCTTCGTCATCTTCAAATAAACTTTCCAAATCTACATCAAAATTTATATTTTGAGGTTTCAAATTTATATCTACATTATTCGAAATAGATACAGCTTCAATACACTTATGATGAAACATAAAATCTGATGCTATTTCTAATTGTTCTTTCCACTTTAAAATATCTTCATGTTTTTGTTTGTATAAATGAAAATTATTTTTCAATTCTAATAACATTGAATACTTATTTAAAATTGGTATAACGAAATCACACATTTCTTTATTTGTTATTAAAATAGCAAATATTTGATTTTGTATTTCTAGTTCTGGTATGAAACTTTTCAGTATACTTATCAGAAGGTCTTCATTGTCGTATTCACTGACATATAGTAATTCACAAAACGGTTCAAACAAAATTAAAGATAATTCTGTATTTCCAAATCTTAACATATTAGACATCACATTAAGTACCTGAAATAAAATAAATTGAGAAACTATATTTCAATTTCGAAAACACACTATCTATACAGATAAATGAAATTGAAGTGTCTGTTTGTAATATCAAAATAACAGCTTTTTACAAATGTATTATTTAATTATTTTTTTTTTATTTTTGTCTATCCGTCAGTTTGTTCCGGCTAACTCCAAAACGGATGGACAGATTTTGGCGGGATTTTCATTACAAGATAGCTGATGTTATAAGAAGTAACTTAGGCTAATTTTATTTTAGAAAAAGTGTTAGGGTTTCGCGCAAAAAAATTAAAACTCATGAAATTATAAACAAAATCCGAAGGGAGGTTAAGGCTAGTATGATAATATTATAATTATTAGAACAACTAAAGTGTCAAAAATGATAATTTTAAATGGAATATATGGAGACAGTACTCTATCAGTACTTTGGGTACTCAAACATTGAAATTACTATTTGACTTTTTTAATTCGTCATAGATTTTAAAACAGTAGTAGATTTGTTTACTTTTATGGCCCAAATACGGAGGGGCATAAACTTTATAGGTCTCTTAGATAAAACCTTTTTGCTATTTTATAAACTTATTTGTTTGTAAGTATATATACTAATATATTTTATGAGTAAAATTAAGATATAACAAGTACTTACTAGTAAGTCTTATTAACCAAAAAAAAATTACCTTAACCAAACCAGCGCCATTTTTAAATTTATGTTTGTATTCATAAGTTAAATGAGCTAAGCTTTCTACACATCTAAAGTAAAATATAGAAGCTGAACTGAGCTTTTGCAAGAGGCTATTGCAACGAATGCAAAATTTACTCCAAATTTTCACTAAGAAATCTTCCATTCCTGCGTTGTGTTCCACAAAAGTACAAGTTGATGCCAAATCCATGTATTTTACCTATAAATAAGTGGAAAGTTATCTAAGGAAGTATTATATAAAAGAGTAGTTAAAATCTTGGCAATTGAAAATTTGTAATATACATGTACAAGACATTGTCTCAACTAGCATATCTAAAATTGAAACAATAATTGAATTGAAAAAAAAGTGGAATATGTTGAGTAAATCTTCATATTTTAATAATTACAATCATTTATTTTAGTTGCTTATGATCATTTACTTTACTTCTGTTATTACTAGAAATATTATTATAACTTAAAGCTGTATGAAAACAAAAAGTAAGATATATAATATAATGTTTTTTTTCATCTATAGTACTATACAGATAAATAAAATTGAAGTATCTGTTTGTATTATCAAAATAACAGTTTTTACTAAATGCATATGAAAGTATATACGATACTACTAAGCAAAAAAAACAATTTTGAAAATTTTTGTCTGTCTGTTAGTTTTGGCTAATCTCCGAAACGCCTGGACCGATTTTGACAGGACTTTCACTGGCAGTTGATGTTACAAGGAGTAACTTAGGCTACTTTTAGTTTAGAAAAGAATCAGGGGTCCGCGCAAAAAAAATAAAACCCTTGAAATAGTGAACAAAATCCACGTACCTAGTTCTAACTAGCCTAATCTAGCTAGTTACAAATAAAATATAGTAACATAATTATATTTTAACTAGTTAATTAAATATGTACACCAAATTCATAATAACATTAAAACAAGAATCATGAAAATCAGTTAACAAGAGACAAATAAAATATATATAATATAAAAATAAAAAGCCGACTGCATAAAAGGTAACTAAAAAGATGAAAACATGTTCACGAAGGAGTATAGTATTATGCAGTCGGGAGACACGTTTCATTCTTGCCGCGAGATGTACGTACTCGTATGTATGTATGTCTACAACTGCATAATACTATATTCCATCGTGAACTTGCTTTATTCTTTTTAATTAGCTTTTATGCAGTCGGCTTTTTTATTTTTATAATATATTTATCTAGAGCTTTTTAATTATTTTTAAATAGGAAAATTAGCGAACTTTAAATCATTGTATATCCTAAACTGTTATATAAAATGAAAAATGATTTTTAAAAGCCTTTTCAGCGATCCCCACTTGACATAGTTCGTCGATTTTATTTTATTTTTTCTTTTTCACATTATGGTGTCCAAAATGGGCCATTTTGATTTTCTAAATTTTTATGCTTTCTATCACACTCGCGCCGCCATGACGAATCAAACGACGTGACATTTAACAAAATCGGCCCACGCGTTTGGTCTAAATAGTGCCACAAAGGTACAAGCCCACATACATACATATCAAATATACGCTGATAAGCACATTATCCTACGTTGCGTCGCGCAGTCGGATAAAAATATACATAATATATAATAATATACACTAAAATTGAGTTCCTTCTTTTTTTAAAGTCAGTCAAAACGTACATGACATATATACATACCAATTTATCCATATTATGTTCATTTTCACAGACTTCATTGAATAATCCTGATAATTTTTCAACAATCCACTTCTCAACAACTATTTCTAAATTTTCAGGTAAATTCTTCACTTTCAAAGCGCACCAAACCCCAACGTTTCCATCTTCTTGTAGAATAATTTTCTTATAAATCGCCATTTTTTCTGGATATTTCAGAGATTCGAATAACTTTCCAATTGTATACCTTAAATTAATTTGTTGAGGCGACGCGTTAAAAGCCGCTTGAGTTTCTAACGTCTGATAAATTTTTAATAAACTATGTAATGTATTTATATGTAACTGATGATTTCCCATTCTGAAAAACAAATGAGGAAATAGGTTAATCTTAATATATATCTGTCGTATTGTATTCAGCCCTTTCTTAACGTCCCACTGTACGGCACTGGCCTCCCTTCTGTGAGGGGAATAAGGCCATAGTCCACCCACGCTGGTCAAGTGCGGGTTCTCTCAGACATGCAGGTTTCCTCACGATGTTTTCTTTCGCCGTAAAAGTGGTAATAGTGTTGGAAATGATTCGCACATGAACATATTAGAGGTGCGAGACCCGGGATTTGAACCCGCTTCATTCATTTTCCCAAACGAGCGAGTTACCACTGGGCTACCACTGCCACAATGAATTACATGAAAAAACTAGGGGCTCAACCTCGCTTCGCTCGGGTTCAAACAAATACAAATCTATCCCACGGGAACCGTATTTTTTTCCGGGATAAAAAGTAGCCTATTTGTCATTCTGATGTATGAACTATATTATTGTAAAGTTTGATTTAAATAATCAGTATTTTTAGTATACTAAGCTGTATAGGTTACTATAGTTTTTTAAATAAGCTGCGAAAACTCTTCAATTTTCCGGGATGAAAAGTATCTAAAATGTTGACGACGTTGACATTGTAAGATATTACCATGCAAAATTTCATTTGAATCGGTCCAATAGATTCGGAGATTAGCCCGTACAAACAGACCGAGAAACAAAAAAATTAAAAAAATCTAGATCTGTTCTATGTCTCTTCTTACATCCCCCATACTCGATTTTTACCATCTTTTTCTATGTGCAAACATTCAACCTCTATAGTTTTATTATATGTACAGATACTTAAGTTTCTGGTTTCGTTAAAACAATTTTTTAAATGAAAAGTCGATATCCAACATTTAATTTCACAGTTAATATGAATATGCATAGTGAAGCTAATTAACACCTCCAGGTAAATTTCTAAGAAATCAATTAAAATTCTAAGAAATCTATTGTTAACTGACACGCCGGCGTGTCCGCGGTCATTGAGGGATTAAAGTATTAATAAATACATTAAGCAATTATTACCTGCACAGTAACACCCATATATTAGCAGAAAATACTGCTTTATAATAATCATGGGCCAAGATAGATTCAAGTAGAGTTTTCTCTATTATTGTGTATTCTTCGGCAGTGAAAGTTAACACGAAAGCTGTAGTATGAATCATTAAATGTTCATACAAGCCATACAAAACAGTATTATTTGCTGTAGATCTGAATTTCAATCCTATGTTAAACCAAATGTGACCTGAAAGTAATTTTTTTTTATATTGTTACATATCTAATTCGCGCTATTAATATTTGCTACAATAAATGAAAGATGGTGGTTATCTGTAAACTGTATTTTATTGAAGTTATACTTCTTTTAGCACATTTGGAGAAAATTATGAGAGTAAAATTTTTACGATGATGATGTTAGCATTCCTTTTACAGAGTTGTATATATATATATACACATATATATGTATAACTTCTTGTCTACTAAAGGCATACATAAGTACACACACACGTTTTTTATATGTTTTTTATTTTTTTTGATGGCTTTAATCGTTTCACATTAGTGTGGTAAACAATTCATAAAATGTTAATAGCGCCATCTATGTAGGCACACTACATCAACTTTACAAAATAGCTGATTTTCCAACAATCATTATCTTATAGAAATTTTATTAAATATCGCTTTATTTTATTTTTATTTACTTTGAGTATTTTAAAAAAGAAAATATTGGAATCATTTTTTTTTTGATACATTTAATACAAAATCAATTTACTCAAACAAATGATTCATATAAATTATAAACTATTGATATATATTTATGCCATTTTTTAAAAATGACATCATGATAATTTAGTATTACCAGTATTTATAATCATAGAAAAACAAATTAAAAACAAAAACGTGTTACTTACATTTTTGTACAACATAAAAAACTCTTTCAATAATCTTATTCTTGACATCACTAACTCTTTTCTTCTGTTTTTGCAAGAATGCCTTCACCACTGATATTAAAAGAACAATATATCCCAAGAACTTGAAATCTTTGAAGTCATTTATATTCAATAATAACACATTCTAAAAAAAATTTGTTTAAGTTACATTATGTCATTATAAAAAAACATATATTTTAAAAGATTTTAAAGATGACTTAGAGAAAAGTAGAAATAGAGGTAATTACTGTTCTACATTATAATTTTATTTTTCTCAATAATTTTATGTTTGTAATTTATGCCATACAGTTTTGTTCATTTAATAGAAAAAGAAAACTTTTTAAGTCCTATAAGTTTTGTTCTTTTACTAACAAAAAATAATTGTTTGTAATTTATGTCATATCTATACAGTTAAATAAAATTGAAGTGTCTGTTTGTAATATCAACATAACTGTTTATTAATAAATGCATATGAAATTATATAACATTTTTGTCTGTCTGTTTGTTTTGGCTAATCTCTGAAACGGCTGGACTGATTTTATCAAGACTTTCATTGGCAGATAGCTGATGTTATAAGGAGTAACTTATGCTAATTTAATTTTAGAAAAAGAAGTAGGGGTTTGTTCAAGGAAATTAAAGTATACCTAATAACCCACCCATGTAAAGTGCGGGTTAGTTACTAGTTTCCAATAAGTTATTGCAGTAAGTTGATAAATCATCCCTTAATAAAATCGTTGGCTCACTATTACAAGGTTCTATGTTAATTTTAATAAAGTTTAGTCATTTTTACATAGAACTTCGTTATTTTGTTATCGTAAAAAAAACAACATAGAACTATGTAAAATTGAATAGTTTAAGTGCCGCTATTTAGTGGTTTGTTTTTGCAAAACTGTAGCTAATGACACATAGAACCTTGTAGCATTAATAAGTAAATAAGTACTAAAATTGTAACATAGAACCTTGTATTGTGAGCCAACGAAATTACACTTACCGTTATGAATTTCTCTTCACTTACGAGTTGCGTGACCAACGCCTGAGATGGTATTGACAAATGTCCATACACTGTGTTGCAAAATTTTGGAGATTTATTTTCTATTAAGTCATAGTAGTTACTGTTGCACCTGAAAAATAATGTACACTTCAATACATTATTTGATATAAATTAAATACTATAATGGGTAAATTAATTAAGTTATCTTTTGTGTTTATTTGTGAATTTTTGGCCATTGACAAACTTGATCAATCATTTTATGATATTTGCTCAAACTTTAATAACCAGTTTGCCATAAATATTAAAAGTTTAATAGAAATCGCACAATACATTGCAATTGCAATAAAATATTAATATTAATGAGTATTAAAAATGTAGAAGAACACTATAAATAAAATTAGACAATAATTGTGAGTTTGATTCTTGCACTGAATCATTTTGATAATTTATTATAAGTTCATCTTATGATTATATGTATTATTGTCACTCACAATTTTATATAAATAAGAAGCTGAATAATGCTTTCGTAATCATTGCTTGTAGCTTCTTGAAATATAGTGGATATTCTCAGCAATATTTTCAAAGAAAAGCTGGCCACTTTTAAAGATCTTACAACAATTTTATCTTCTTCAATAGCCTGTAAAAATAATGCATTATAATCATGCTAATAAAAATAACATTCATATTATAATCATATATTCATGTTGGTAAAAATAGTAATGTACTCAATTTTGTTTACATTTCATTTAATTTTATTGTATTGTTTTAATTATATATTTTATTATAATAATTAATGTAATTTGATCCTGTTGTATGGAATTTATCATTATTTGTGTTTTGTGATATTTGTTTTTGTTTAATAGGAACATAATCAAATAAGTTTATGAGTACCTAAACTTATTTTTTGCTGCTGAACTAAAATAAATAATAGGCTTTACCTGTAATGCAGTATTTATATTATTGTCTATGGCGCTAGATAAAAGTTTTGTACAATCATTATAAATATTTCTATCTAATAGAAAAGTTGAATATTTTTCACAAATCATAGTGTAAGCTTTCCACTGTTCAGCCATAGTTTTGACATCTAATGCTTGTACTATTTCACCTATTTTCAAATTGATATCTAAAGCTAAAACAAAGTTTATTACGTTAAATTACAAAGTATTTAATAAATGAGTATTTAATAATTTTCATGTTTTATATAATATTATATAAAGTTTAATAACTTACTTTCTAAAAGTACATCTTGATCATTTTTTACAGTTAAATCAAACAAAAAGTGTTTCTGTAAAGTCATTAAGTAAGTCAATTGCAGTTCATGGCAACTGCGAAATAACTCCTTTAGTTGCTTCTCAACTAAAGTTAAATTATTTCCATAGATACATTCACTGAAAATAAAACACGCAAAGCCTTTTAAAAAATAACAAGAACATTTTTAAATAGGTAGATATATATTAAAACTATATTATCACTTACCTATCCTTACAATGAGAGAAAACCAATGATATAATATTCCCTGTATAGGTTGGAAAAGTGTTGACGGTACAACATGTAACAGGAACAACTTCAATTATACTTTTGATGAAATTAGACAGGATTTGTAGGATGTGCACCACATTTTCTAAGTAAATACATGCTTTATCAACTTGAGAATCTTCTGATAATGATATAATTATATCAAAGCTCTGAAACAAAATGAAAAATAGTTTTGAATAAAAAATAAGGTCAATAACCTGTATTATAATAACTTCAAAACTTACCTGGTCTGCACAATTTCGACAATCGTCTAAAAGAACACTAAATTTATCAATCATTCTTGTATTATTACTGTTGTCATTAAAGTTAAACGAATTCTTTATTTTGTTTAGAAGCATTTCGTATGATTCTATATCGATCTGTTATTGATATTTAAGGAAATTGGTTAAATTAGTGAGTAATGGGTATGACGAGTCGATTAATCGAAGGTCCCGTTTTACTCCCTAAACACAAGGCGCATTCATATAAGGATTAAAATATAAATAAAATTATAAATGTTTCGTCAGCTAGGAAAAGCTGGCAAAAAATATTATACTAAGAAAAATATTAAATTTTAAAAGGATACAGTAGATGCATCGTACATGCTGAAACCTCTATCTGAGAAAACATCTGAACTTTGGGAATCATCCATTATGAAAAGAAATATTGTAAGTTATTTTAAAACCATGTAGCCTAAGGTGTAAAGCTTAGACCGTTCATTTTATTTCTAATTCTATTTTTCACTTCTATAAGTAAACTATGATTTTCACTAAGATACTTTTTCGCGCTTTAAAAATTTGTATTTAAATGTTTGACATAAACATTTGACAAAAAATGACATTTGTCATTTATGATTACAGACCCTGTTTTCCAATTAGAGCACCAATAGACTAATAGTAGGGGAGCCCAAGAGGGGATTTTTGCAGATACTCTAGACATGAAATTGACCACTCTCTAAAATTAGAAAAATCACTTTTATATATAGCAATACAGTAAATAATATGAATTGAATTTAGAAATAAAATTTACCAATAATATCTATCACTTTTCAATTGTAAAATAACATAATAGATATAATATTGCAAATAGCGTACGTGCGTAATGCTGAATAAGCACGCTCCACAGATCGACTTTGATAACTTATCCATAAACAAATACTGATTACTGTCATCCATGCCACCATGGTGTCATTGTCATTTGTGACAAGCACGTGAAAAACACGCTATTTCACCGGCTACAATGTTTTTATTTTCTTTGAAATATTATTTTGCTTTTAAATCATAAAGCTTACAAAAAAATTATAAAATGTGTGATAAAATTAAAGCAGCTTTAAAAAATATAGAATTGGAAACGGCAAATTGTCATTTAATCAAAGCATGTCAAGATGCTGTGGTTAGTAACAAAGCTATATTTTCTATTATGTTCCTCAATAAATGACCAATATAAATATCTAACAGGTTATTTGCTTTTTTATCTTTCAGGGATCATTGAAAAATAATACAATAGAAATTGCAGATGTAATAGGAAAATTATCTGACTTCATTTTAAATTTTGAAGATGTAGTATTATTCAAGAAATATTTATCAAATATTCTCTTGGGCTTAGTATCATCGAAAATCCCTTTAAAACCTGTATTTTCGAGTATTAACTATGACCAATGCACTGACTTGGAAAAAACACATCATTTAGAGTACTCAATAGTTTTATCATTGCTGAGTGATCATCCAGATGTTTTACAGTAAGTGATTAAAGGTGTTTAACAACTTCAGTGAAAGATCTAAAGAAATTAAAACCTTACAGCATTATGAACTCTGTGTTTTAGGTATGCTCTCAAGTACTTTCAAATAAATGCCGTACCCCCCTATGAAGTATTCATTCACCATGAGGATTCATATAATGTTGCACCAAAAAAAAGGAGACTGTTAGATTGTCGACAAAAAATTACTGATAACCATATAGTATCTTGTTGCTATTCCTTATTAACCAGATTGCCTAATGAGCTATCTGTGAAGTGGGATTGGAGTAACTTTATTATAAATTTTAGTAATCATCAAGATCCTGATATTAGATGGTAAATATTTTATTGTTATTAATTTTTTAACAGTTATAATTATAATGAGGCATTTGTAGCCCAGTGGTAACACGATCACTTGGTAAACAGAGTGAACCAGGTTCAAATCCTGGGTCCTCCAATCCTGCAAATCTGGATGTAACTATTAAGTTTTCGAAAGACATGCCACCAACCTGCCCAGCTTGGTGGACTATGCCCTGACCCCCTCACATTGAGGCGAGGCCTGTACCCAGCAGTGAGATGTTAAAGAGGGCTAAATATATTATAATAAAACACTAATTTAAATATTCATTGTATAAGTTACTTATAAGTATTTTGTCTGTATATTTATGAATATGTCATAGAGAATTATTAGTTACTAGCGGCTAACCCTCGCTTCTCTCAGGTTTGTCGCTAGGTACGTTTTAAATAGATATAAATAGTTATTAGCCAGCGTTAGCCATATAAATTTTAATTTTTCTTGTTAATAATATTGACAAATATTGTCATTAATATTTATATGATTCTAACGTCACTCAATTGACATCAATGTTTTGCCTTCCTGAAACCTCTCCACTAACACTTAAACTTTATGTTATGGTATTAAAGTTCAAATTGACTATTAAGTATTAATACAAATCTTTTGTATGGGAGTATAGAAAAATGTTGTTTTTAGACTTTTTCAGGCAATTTTTAAAATTTTTCTCTCTGTAAGATCCATCTCGTACTTCAAGGAATATTCTAAAAAAATAATTAGCGAAATCGGTTCAGCTGCTCTCGAGATTTGTGCTTACCAACACAGTGATTCAATTTTATATTATAGATTTTTATTTCTACAGGATGGTAAAAGAATGTATGGCCATAATAACAAATATGACAGAAGCCCAGGCTAAAATATTATCAAGCAATATGAGCCTGACAAAGCAAGATGAAATCAAACACATTGCTTCAATAAAAGAAATGCACTTAATTGATGGGAATATTGAAGAGTTGAATTTAAATTCTAGTAATGTTGTGAATATTGATGGAATACTATTACCAATATTTGACAGAGACAATATCCAACCAGGACAGTTGGTCCCTGTAAAGTCTACTACAAATAATTTAAGAAGCCTAGCTCTTGCTGTTGCATCAGGTAATTAAAATTTGTGATTAAAATTGGCAATTATGGCAACTCCTGTCCTATATTGACTTTTTCATATGTCAGGAATTATAAAAACTATTATTCGTAAGGAATTACTTGTAATTGTCTCTGAATGGCCTTAAAACTATAACTTTTCAAAAATCACTTTGATCCATTGCTATTTGGAACAACCAACTAACTTTCATTTCAGTATTATTATTTTTTTCATTTTCGTTCGTTTGAAAACCTCGGCTTTGCCGGTATTCTCAGCTAACACGGGCCAGAGCCAAGTGTTAGTGGGATAGTTTTTGTTGTATGGTAATTAAATATCTAAAGTAATACTGTGTCGTTGAGGTATGTGTTGTGGCGGACGTGGCGCTTGAACATGATTTTGTATAATGTCAAGCGATGTGGAGATACTACTAACTATATCATTATCCGTTTGTAGAAATTTACGAACAATTCTGCATGTGTTTAATATAACGGCTTTTAGTATATTAAAATATATATATAAAGGAAGGTTCAGTATTTTAAGAGATTGAAATAAATGTTTTGGAATTACACCAGTAGTTGAGAGTATGATTGGAACTATGGTAACGGTTTCAAGATGCCACATTCTTCTTATTTCGTCTTTTAACTCAATGTATTTGGTTAACTTTTCAGCTATCGCGTTCTGTAGATTGTGGGTATTTGGTATAGCCTATGTCAATGATAAAAGCCGATTGTCTGCGTTTATCATGAAGAATTATATCCGGTCTATTATAGTAGCTTGTCTTGTTAGTTAATATAGCACGGTCAAAATAGAGACGATAATTTGAGTTTTCTATAACTGTTTCTAGTATATATTTGTAATATGGTACAGTTTTGTTCGTTGTAATTTTAAGCATTTGGGCTATTTGCTTATTATTATTATTAATTAACCTTTATTGCTGATAGAGCTAACAACATTTCACACAATTCATGTGATTAACAATATTATATATAAAAGAATACATGTTAACATTTATATATGTCTTTGGGACACAATGGTCTCCTATTATATATAAATTTCAGTAATAGGTTGGATCTATTCATAACTAACAAATGTTTTGTTCATTTTATAGGTCAAGCACTTTCATTAATGGGCCCAGTCGGTTCTGGCAAGACTTCTTTAGTAGAACATTTAGCAGCTATCACTGGACGCAAAGGAATTGCGTTTAAAAAGATCCAACTTGGTGATCAGACAGATTCTCGGATGTTACTAGGCTCTCATCAGTGTACAGATGTGCCTGGTGAATTTGTTTGGACACCTGGTGTTCTTACTGAGGTAACTACAGTTTACACTAATATTGTAGATGAGAAAGTTTATGAGTGTGTTAAAAGTACCCTATGTCCTTCCCAGTTCTTATCCTCTTACCAAATTTCATCTAAATCGGTTCAGTAGATCCAGAGATTACCCCCTACAACCTCACAAACTTAACCTCTTTATAACATTAGTATAGAAAAACGATCTACCTATGACTTTCATTTTGATTACAAAATTTAGTTTTCAATTTTAGATCTATTTTCTAGTCTATACTTATTATAAAAATAAGTCCCCCGGCCGCGTCTTTCTGTCCTCCTGTCTGTCCTCCTGTCTGTCTGTACGCGATAAACTCGAAAACTACTGAACGGATTTTTATACGGTTTTCAACAATAGAAAGAGTAATTCTTGAGGAAGGTTTAGGTATATAATTTATTATGCTTTTATGTAAATTAGCTGAAATACGGCGACAAATGTTGAAGAGGTCGCAAAAAATCTCGCCAAATGGGAACTTTCCACGCGAACGCCGCGTAAACTAGCAAAGATACAGTTAAGTAATGTACTAGAGAATTCAAAATCTATAAAAATGCTACAAAAAAGTCCGCGATAGCATATCTCTATCTCTTACGGTTGACTTACAATAACCACTTTTATGTTAACATTTTTAATTAAAAACATTACGTTATTTTCAAAGTTATTTTCTTTAGTTCGGTATTAATCCTTATCCAAATGAATATTTTAGTTAGCTTAGTCATTTAATGCAGATTAAAATTGCTCTTTACACTAAATCAATCAGATGAATAGTTTTTGAGATATCGTTGTTAGAAGTAATTAGTAGCGAAACATTTTTAATGCTTGGCGAGCATTGAGATGCCTACGGCGAGTCCATCCCCTCTGCCCCGCATCGCTCGACCGCCTGCTCAAGCTATATAAACCGGGCGATGTAGCGCGCGATCCTAGGATACTTTTTACCGCGGGAAAATATCTTATTTCTGAGGAAAAATACAAAAACTGCAATGTAAGAGTATACTAATATGTAACACCTAAGAATTTAGTTTTTGGTCATCTGAACGCGGGCGGAGCCGCGGGCAATGCTAGTTATTAAAATATTTTATTTTTTTAGGCAGTTCAAAATGGTCATTGGCTTTTATTAGAAGATATAGACTGTGCAGCGTTAGATGTAGCATCTACTTTAAGCTCATTGCTTGAAAGGAACACACTATGTGTACCAGGGTATAGAGATGCATTACCAGTCACTCCTGGTTTCCAGTTATTTGTTACTCAAAGGTAAGTAAAAAATACCTGCTTCGTATAAAATTTTTGACTCCTTACCCTACAATTTACATACAATGTTTTATGTTGAAAAAAATAAATATAAATTCAACCTTTTGATCAAATTTAAACTAACATGTATACAATAGTGTTAAAGTGATGATTTTTTTAATTTATTTTCAAATTTTAGGACCATTGTAACAAATTATGGATTTCAAAAGAAGATGTCTAATTCAAGTACATTACTACAAAAACATTTAACTCAAATAAATGTTGAACCACTTTCACGCTCAGAATTAGCAGAAATTATACAAAATAAATATCCGAGTCTCACAACTATCTGCCCTAAAATGATTGAAGTATTCATGATGTTCTCTGTAGGCAGCCATGATGATTCTTTACAAGCAACAGATATAACTGAAAAAGAATCTAGTGTATCTTTAATGAGAGGCTCAAGACTTATTTCAACGAGAGATCTTATTAAGTGGTGTGCAAGATCTGTAGTGGGATTCAATGTGTCAAGCCCAGATTCTGCGTTAAAAGTACTCCAAGATGCCTTAGATATTTTCACTTCTTCTATATCCTCGCCTGAACATAGATTGGCATTGGCAAAAAGAGTTGGCACCTGTTTGGGCATTGTGGAAACAAAATCTGAATTTTACTGTAAACACTACAAACCAAATGTGTCATTACACCCAAATTCGTTAGAAGTGGGACGAGCTAAGGTGTCAAGAGTTCAGAAGAGTTTAAATATGATAGACTTTGATAATAAAGATTCCGTATTTTCCTTTACTCGTCAATCCGCTTGTTTACTTGAAAAGATCGCGTGTTGTGTGACTTTAAATGAACCAGTCCTTCTTGTAGGGGAAACCGGAACAGGTAAAACTTCATCCGTTCAGTACCTGGCCAAGCAAACTGGCCACAAACTAGTTGTTATAAACATGAATCAACAATCAGATTCAGCGGATCTCCTTGGAGGCTATAAACCAGTAGATATGAAATATGTCATACAGCCAATAAAAAATGAATATATTGAAATGTTCAAAGGTTACTACAATGTTGAAAAGAATAAGAAATTTATAAATCATATAGAAACCTGTTACGATACTGAAAACTGGACGGCTTTGTTAGCATTGATGAAACAAAGTCATAGGGCAGCAATAACGCGATTGACAAGTGAGAAAAAGGATGACAAGTTAAAAATATGGCTTGCTTTTGGTCATAAGCTCTTGAAACTTGATCAACAAGTGAAAGCAGCTTCTAAATTAACTTTTGCATTCATTGAGGGCTCTCTAGTTAAAGCAATGCAGCAAGGTTACTGGGTGCTGTTAGACGAAATTAATCTGGCATCAGCAGAAATATTAGAATGTCTTGCTGGATTGTTGGAAGATAAGAGTGAGAGTATTGATTTACTTGAAAAAGGAGACAAAGTCCCTATAAAAAGGCACCCAGATTTCACACTATTTGCATGTATGAATCCAGCTACAGATGTTGGAAAAAAGGATCTGCCTGTAGGCCTTAGGAACAGATTTACGGAGTTTTTCATTGACGAATTAACAGAAAGAAATGATTTAATGCTACTGATTGGCGATTATTTGTATCACATGAATTTGAGTGGTGCAATTTTGGAATCGATTTATAGTTTCTATGCGACAATCAAGAAAGAAGCCAAATTGAACTTAGTGGATGGCTCAGGTATTTATTATTAAACTATGTCCATTCAAAAGTTATCGTTTAGTATTATATTAAACTATTTTTTGCAGTTTTAAAGTGTAAAATTTTTTCGAATGCTTTACAACAACGTCTATAAAGCTGGAATGGTCAATTGGCTAAAAATTTTGCAGAAAATTAAGTGCTCATTTAGTGCTAATCAAAGTTTCTCTGCTCATACCAGCAAATTTTGTGTTATATAAAAATAAAAGGATCTAAAATTTTTATATTTGCCTTCATTGATGGCCAGCACTAATTGAGCACTAAATTAATGCTAGGTTGATTTGAAGGTGCGTCATGCGGTTAGCGTATTAGGCAGTGACACTACTATCTTAATTAAAAGCTAGCAGTTTTCTTATTTTTTATCCATCTATTTGAGCGTTAAATTCAATGTTGAAGCATTAAATTAGCACTAAATGAACACTCAATATTCTGCAAAGTTTTTTGCGATTCTGCCCAATTGACTATTCCAGCTATAGATGTTTTACAACAAACCGTAACCATTTACGGGAAATTTTTTAATTATAAAATAGTTTAAGGCTAGAAATCATCTAAACGATAATAAAATAAACATCAAAAACCTTAGTCTCGCCCGTGACTAAGTTTGCTGTAAAGCATTTGAAACGGAAAAAAAGCAAAATAGAACTGTGAAAAAATCTGAAACAATAGTTTTATTAAAATGTCTAATAATCATAAATATTTTTTATTTAATAATTTATTTATTCTGCAGGTAATGCTCCACACTACTCCCTAAGGACTCTATGTAGAGCTCTAACGGCAGCAGCTAGAGCCAAATGTGGAACTGTGGCCAGATCTTTGTATGAAGCATTTTGCCTTTCATTTTTAACTCAACTCGATAGGTCATCTCATCCTAAAGTTGAAGCTATGATTGCAAAGTAAGTTATGAATCATGTAATTTAATGTAAATTGGACTCGTTTTCGTTAAAAATTTAAAACGATTGAGTTATGGCCAATAAACATATATTTTTATTTATAAATTCTTTTATTATAAATTCTTTCATTATAATAATGTCAACACTTCTTATTTTCTAGGGTTTATTAATAAAACTAGCTAAAATTTATTTTATTTTTTATAAACAAATCAACTAAGATATGTACTCATTTATAAAATAAATAATTTTGTTCTCAGAGCGGTTATTGGCAAAAAGAGTATAAACTCAGTTTTAAAGCAATTAATCCCCGAACCAAAAGCTGAAGGACAAAACTTTTTGCTTTTCGAAGGACATTGGATTCCTCAAGGAAAATTGGAAATTGATATTCCCGAGGGATATATACTAACCCCAACTGTGAGAAAAAATCTTAGAGATATAGCACGTATTATTTCTTTAGGCAGATTGCCTGTTTTGCTCCAAGGAGACACATCTGTCGGCAAAACATCGCTTATAACTTATATTGCGAAAGCTTCCGGGAACTACTGCGTCAGAATAAACAACCACGAACACACAGACTTACAAGAGTATATAGGTTCATATGCAACTGACTCTAGTGGTAATTTGGTATTTAAAGAAGGCGTTCTTGTTGAAGCAATGAGAAAAGGTTATTGGATCATTCTGGATGAACTGAATTTAGCACCTAGTGATGTATTAGAAGCATTGAATCGTGTTTTAGATGACAATCGTGAATTATTTATTCCCGAAACGCAACAAGTAGTTAAAGCTGATCCCAACTTTATGTTATTTGCCACCCAAAATCCACCCGGTTTGTACGGCGGTAGGAAAATGCTCTCTAGAGCCTTCAGGAATCGTTTTGTAGAGTTACATTTTGATGAAATACCTAGAAAAGAACTGGAAACTATACTACATCAAAGATGTCATATACCGCCCACTTATAGCAAAAAAATGATCGAAGTCATGGCGGAACTACAAGTGAGGAGACGTGGTTCAGCAGCTGTTCAAGGAAAAGACGGTTTTATTACATTGAGAGATTTGTTTAGATGGGGCCAAAGATACAAACACGCTTCCAAAGAAAAGCTGACTTCTGAAAAGTTTTACGATTGGGACCAACATATTGCTGATGAGGGCTACCTCATATTAGCTGGTAAAGTCCGTCAAATGGATGAAAGAAATATTATAGAAGACGTCATAGAAAAACATATAAAACGAAAAGTTAATCCTGAAAATATTTTCAGTTTACATCAGAACACGTCTTCCGTAACTAAACATATTCTGGAAATGCTTCTGAATAATCAACTTGTTGAGTTTTCACACGTCGTTTGGACTTTTAATATGAGAAGACTTGCAGTTTTAATAGCTAAAGCGTTTACTTTCAATGAACCTGTGTTATTGGTGGGTGAAACAGGTTGCGGTAAAACAACTATATGCCAGGTTTTAGCAGCATTGAGTAATAGACAACTACTTTCTGTTAATTGCCACATGCATACAGAAAGCTCTGATTTCTTAGGTGGGCTTCGTCCTGTAAGACAATACAAAAACGACGGCAGATTGTTTGAATGGGTAGATGGTCCTTTAATACAATCCATGGAAAAGGGTCACTTGTTTTTGGCTGATGAAATTTCTTTAGCAGATGATAGTGTCTTAGAAAGATTGAATTCACTTCTTGAACCTGAAAGACAACTTGTTCTATCGGAACGTGGAATGGAAGATGGTTCAGATATTGTTGTTATAACGGCTGTTTCAAACTTTCATTTTATCGGAACGATGAATCCTGGTGGAGACTTTGGCAAAAAAGAACTTTCTCCTGCACTACGCAATCGGTTTACAGAAATATGGTGCGACCATATCAGCTCTAGGGACGATTTATTGAAAGTATTAGAAAAAAGTGTAAGCAAAGGAATTGCTTTAGGAAACCAAGAAGATGGTAACTCTGGCATTGGCAATTGTATTTTAGATTTCACAAATTGGCTTAAAAATTCAGAAGTGACAAATAAATTTCCATTCAGTATACGTGATTTATTGTCGTGGGTTCACTTCATCAACATAACTGTGACAAAGTCTTTGTTGGATGTTCCGGAGGCATACGTTCATGGAGCTTGCATGACATTCTTGGATTGCTTTGGCACTGCTCTTACGGGTCATGTAGACTCAGAAACATTGATCTCATTGCGTAAAGATGCTATAGACTTCCTGTTAAATCAAATTAAGACCTTTAGCAGTGAACACAATGAAAGCTTAAGAAATATGCTATGTAATAAAAAAGTCCTGCTAGAAGCGGAGGCCGATGACACTAAATTTGGAATAAAACCGTTTTTCATAGAATGTGGGCCTCATAAGAAGGTGGACGAAAAACAATCGTTTACGTTTACCGCGCCAACAACTTGCTCCAATTCTTTGAGGTTGTTACGTGGCTTACAATTAAATAAAGCTATCCTTTTGGAAGGAAATCCAGGAGTAGGAAAAACTAGCTTGGTGACGGCTTTGGCAAAATCATCTGGACATAAAGTTGTGCGGATTAATTTAAGCGACCAAACGGTAAGTTAGGCTATTATTAATATGTATGTATTATACTAATATATATTATTAGTTATCGATCAATATAAAAGTTATTTAAGGTATTAAAAATAATTATATCATTGAGCTGAAATATATATTTTTTTGTGAAATAAAATGACTAGACTTTTAAATTAATTTTAAAATTTTAAAGTTAATATACGTAATATGTACGTAGAACTAAAATTTATTTAATCAAATTATTAAATATAAAATAAAATGTATAAATGTATATATTTTATTACAGGATATTACAGATCTTTTTGGTACTGATCTACCATCTGAAGATGGATCTTTTACATTTAAAGAAGGTGCTTTTTTGAGCGCTTTACAAAATGGTGACTGGATTCTTCTAGATGAGCTAAATTTAGCTCCCCAACCAGTACTTGAAGGTCTAAACGCCTGTTTAGATCATAGAGGCGAAATATTTATACCAGAATTGGGAAAGACATTTAAAGTAAAACAAGAAACAAAACTGTTCGCGTGCCAAAATCCTTTAAAGCAGGGTGGAGCAAGAAGAGGACTGCCTGTTTCCTTCTTAAATAGATTCACACAAGTGTATATTGATACCCTAACCAAAGAGGATCTCTTATTCATCGTAGAAGCACAATTCTCTCAACTACCAAAAGATATTTTACACAGAATTGTTGAATTTAATTGCAAAGTTGCACACGAGATCACTGAAATACAATCGTGGGGTCATAAGGGTGGACCATGGGAAATGAATTTGCGAGACATACAAAGATGGTGTGAGGCGCTCATTAATGACGATAACAATAATCACAAAGTAGCACCGGGAAAATATATTGATATGTTATACGTGAATCGTATGAGATCTGAAGAAGATAAACAGAAAATGATTCAGTCTTATAATGAAATATTCTGCCCAGAATACCCTAGAAGTGATAGTAATCCTCAATTTGATGTTAAAGACGAGGAAGTAATTATAGGAGATGTTTCCTTGATACGAAATAAAGAAAAAACATTTAAAAATAGACGTTCAATGGAAACAAATTTACTTATACTAAGAAATCAAATACCAATTGTGAAAGCTTTAGCTCAAAATATTAAGATGAATTGGCTTTCAATACTTGTCGGCCCGACAGCAACTGGCAAAAGTAGTGTTATCCAAGTTTTAGCAGATTTAACAGGAAATGAGTTACATGTAGTGCCAGTGACATCCGCAATGGACGTTTCCGACTTGTTAGGTGGCTTCGAACAAGTTGACTATAATCGAAATCTTGAAAATTTTTACGATGAAATTGAAACGCTAACAATTCAAGCCGTACGAACTGTTTGGATCAAACACAAACTCACGGAATGGAAATCGAACAAATTGCTAACTAACCTTCATCAGTATAAATCTTACCAATCTAATTTCCTTGATAAAAATTATTCCGATGAAGAACTTAAAAAGTTTAAAGATAAAATAAAGTTCCTTACAGAGCACTGTCAGAAACTATTCGATTGCGCTAATTCATGCAATTTACAAACAAACCGTGTGGAACAAATAATAAATAATCTAGAAAAATTAAGATGTAAAGTGTCTAAATTATCTACAGTGAATATTGGTGGCAAATTTGAGTGGGTAGATTCGTTACTTGTAAAAACAATGGTTGAAGGATCATGGCTTTTGTTGGACAATGTCAATTTAACATCTGCAGCCGTCTTGGATCGATTAAATGGTTTGTTAGAATCAAATGGAGTTCTTAGTATTCCTGAAAGAGGTGAAATCAGTGAAATCAAACCGCACCCTAACTTTAGAGTTTTCTTTACTATGGATCCTAAATATGGTGAGATTTCTCGAGCTATGAGAAATAGAGGCGTCGAAATTTTCTTCTTGCGATCGGACGACTGGGATCTAGGTCTATCAGAAACAATGGATTATATGGATTTAGTCGCTCTTCTGTCTTCGTGTGGACTTCCGAATCAGTATCACGATATTTGTATACGATGTCATGAATCTCTGACTGCATTTGTTCAAGGTAATGCTATTTGTTACTTTTGTTTAATTTTTTTAAATATATTGATATATTAAATTTAAGTGTATGTCTAAGATTTCAAAATAGCTAAGCTATATTAAGGTTATAGAGGTTTTTATATGATACAAAAGCCCAAAGAACTTTAAAAAATATTTCTCACTAATATGGATAACGATTTGAGAGGGAAATTACAATCCATTTTAAATCTAATAAAATTGTTATTTTTTGTGTTTCGGCTATATTAATCATCTAATCGCACTACCTAAAGCCACGGGTAAAAGATAATTAAATAAACTAATTTAATATGTAGCAGAATATAATTGATTTTAGTAGTTTTTGGTTTTCCTTCACAGGCTTGGAACGACCAACTGTGTCACATTTACTTCAAGCCGCCTATTTGACTTACCAACAAATAGTCCGAGGAATTTCCAGTCATACAGCACTTTTAAATAGTTTCTCAGATGTATATATAAAACCAAGAGGTGGTAGCGACTTTGCTTCCGCAGTAAATATGTCTCTAGCTGAAATGAAAAATACAATGTTAAAGGCATTAGAATCAGAACTTGGTACAGAAGAATACGAGCCAATTGTATCTAACGATATTAGTCACACGCTCACAGTTAAAGGATTGTGTAACAACTCGGCAGTTGAAATTGCTGAGCAAATCGCATATTCGGTAGTCAAACAGGCGGACGACAAAGAAGTTTCTGCAGATACTGCTTTACTTTCTCTATTTTCTGTTCTGACCTCCTACCAAAAAAGTCCGCGAGAATTTTTGGAAATATTAAACTCAATAATAAAGAAAGGAGTTAACTCAAATAATAATGAAAAGTTAAAGCGCTTTACATATCAGATGAATGAAGCAGCCTTCGATAATTTGAAACGCTCCCAAACACATGCATCTTATAAGAGGTTTTTCCCAGAAACATATAAAATGAGTGATGAAATGATTTTTGAAGTGAACACTAACTTTGCACTGCTCTATGTGGAATTGAAAAATATTGTAATAAGATTATTCTTATTAGACAACGGTGTCTCTGCATTCCATTATTCCAGTGCAGTGTCTGAGGGAAAAATAACTGACGATTTTGTAGAGTATCCTATACTGAAAAATTGTTACCTTTATTTACAAATGGTTGATAATTATATTGGAAATGCAATAAAATCTGGAGAAACTTGTTTCAATGACAATATTGTATGTATTTTATTACAAATTCTTAATTGGCGTGATAGATTTATAAAAATCTGCTCATTGCCAATATTCGATAAGACAAAAAATAAACGGACTCCGATCTTAAAAGAAGAAATAATTCCATTGCTAAATGTTCACAGTAAATGGATTCAAAAATACCTGCTTGGGGAACTGTTCAAAATGCCGCCGAATCATAAATTCTTAGAAACATTTATTTCTGATTTAGAAAAACTGAACTTAAATGTTGATCAAAATCATTCGAAACTTGCGAAGTTGAGTAAAAAATTACGCAAATATTACGGTCAACCAAAACTATATCAGACTCAAAATGAATATGATTTATGTACTTCGAGATTAGAACTATATAGTAAAATACAATTTGATATGACTGAACCTCTTGATAGACAATTACACAAAGCTTCAGTGGATCCCAATAATATGTCAGATTTGACTTTAGCATTTGATGTTCCAGAAGATAAAATTATTAAAGATATAGAGGAATATATCATTAAAATAAATCAAAATATCACAATTACGGACAAACTAAGATCAGAACTAAAAGTTTTCCCGGTAAACTTGTATGTTATACAAAGAATAATCAATATATTGCAACCGCAATTGTTCTCTAATTTAATTAAATTCTCTGTTGAAAATAAATTTAAAAAAGAATTATTTACGGCCGATATAATAGAGATTTTGGCAAACTTGACTTGCTTAGGAAGCGGTATGAAAGGATTTCCACCAGCTTTGTTGAATCAGTTTCAAGTCATCCATAAAATTCTTGAAGACAACAGCGACTATGTTATTAAAAGGTACGTAAGGGGTTTTTTATTACAATTAAATACACAAACAAATCTTTTAGAATTTCGTCATATTTTTATTTAGATTTTTTTCCTTTTTTATTTACAATTGATGAAAGGGAGTATTTGTTGCTTTCTTGGATTATCCTTATTTACTCAGTAATAATGGATTGGGGTTAATTTTTATAGAAAATTTGTTAGCCGTAAATAGAATCGTTTTTGTACCACAATACCTACATTATGTAGCTTAATAGTCAAATACAAAAGGGTACTTTTAAAAATGGCTAATTATTGTAGAAACTTAAACTTTTGAAAAACACAAAGTACAAAGGGAGTAAATAAGCCTTCTTCTAGAATCTAAAAGAAGAACCTAAAATGAGAAAAACTATATATTTTTTTCATAAATTTTTTTCAGAATATCGTCCCTGCCAATAACTTTTTGGACAGAATTATATAAATTACTTACCAATTCCCCTGTAAACTATCCATTGCCTTTCTTAAATTTAAATGATTTGGTCAACTCTGACGAAATTGTCGAGACAATTCCAGCAAACACCAAGAGAGTCTCAATGAACATGCCTCTAATGCCATTTTATCTTCAAAATTTAACAACATTTGTTGATAAATCAAGTAAGTAAATATATATGTGTATCGTGTATACTTCTTAGATTTTTAATAAAACTTACTAATATTCGATTTTTTCGCAGGTTTATTTTGGTTTTTAGTTTCCGACATTTCGAATGCTTGACAGCAAATGTTGTCGCGGGAGAGCATTCGAAACGTCAGCAAACAGTAAGCAAAATAGAACCTCAAAAGAATACGAAAAAATAATTTTAATTAAGATTGTATTACGTGTTTTTTTTTAACTAATATAAATTTCAGCATCCCATCCAGTATTGGCGTATGATAAAGTAGCACTTAGAGATGGTGTAGAATATTCTATGCAAATGGGAACAATATTAAATATATTATGGAAGAACATTGGCACGTTGGATTGTGCGGCAGCTTTAAAATTGTAAGAGATTTACTCTTAATAACAATCATATTTTTATTAGAATAATTGAGTTTTTCAACCGACTTCAGAAAGGAGGAGGTTCTCAATTCGACTGGGTTTTTTTTATGTTTGTTACCTCAGAACTTCGTCATTTATTAACCGATTTGGACAATTTTTGTGTTGTTTGAAAGTGTATACTTCCAGATTAGTCCCATTTAAATTAAAAAAAAACCACCCCTAAGGGTGGAAAAATAGCTAATGATGAATTTAACCTACTTCTAATTGTCATATTGACTTGAAACTTTGCAAGTGTTTCTATTTCCGTTGATAGTACAGTGGTTCGGTATTGTTGACCTGATCTGATAGTAAGGCCAGAAGGTGGATAGGTGGAACTCTTCAACGGCTAATAGTAGATACTTTAAGTTTGTGCTTATTTTGTTTGATTTGACAAGCCTAACACGTTAGAATTCTTACTTTGCTACTACTGTCTACACTAAAAAGGGAAAAATAAAAACTTTTTAACAAAAAAATAAAAACCGACTTCAGACAAAAGCACTAAAAAATAAAAAATAACTGATTGGTAGTTTTCATTTACTATACATACCTAATCAAATATTTACGAAATCGGTGCCAGCGCATACAAAGCAAAGCTTAAAAGCTTAAAAAGTTTTTTTTTATTGATATATATATATTACTTTTCAGGAAATCGGATGCCGATTTCGAACTACAGAGGTATAAACACTTAATAAATTGTCTCCAGAGTATACTATCAGAACAATATAATATGATTAAATATTCAATAGATCCCACTGAAGATAATAATCAAAGCATATACACATATTTTCAAGATGATAAGCAGTTCTTAGACATATTTATTAAGGCAGAAGCGATACATAAAGAGTTATTTTATTTAGAAAATCTACATGGCGAAAGCTCGAAAACGAAGATAAAAATATTAATTTCGGAACTATCTCTTATGACAAGTCTTATTTTTATCCGAATAATGGCTGAAATAAGTGCCATCGATCATGTCGAAAAGTATCGGCTTAAAGTACAATACATTGAAGAAGATGTCAAAATGTTTGATAAGTTGCTAAGTGTGTATTATATACATGGTGTTATTTCTGGGACAGTAAGTGAAAGTAGGAATATAGATACGCCTTCCCAAGTAACTCTAGATTGTTATAAAGAGGGTACGGAAAATAGAGAGAAATTAAAGAAAGTGCATCCCTATTGTAAGGTTTTGATGGAATTAAAGGAGAAAACCGCTCAAAGAGTGCAAAAATATGCCTCTGGCAACACTTTTAGACCTAAGGAACCATCTTATGGCAGCTTTGTTCAGGTAATTTTATGAAAGCTTTTAAAATTTTGTGCATCACGTGAGTAAGTTGGTGTGTACAAAATGTAGACTCTTATTTTATTTATCTTAAAGTTATGTATATGTGATATCAATATATAAAAGGCCTCAGTGGTGTAGTAGTGGCTAGCATGTATTGCTGCTGCACAGCGAAGATGCGGGCAAAAGCTAGTAAAATCTAAAAAGCTTTATTTTTTATTATTAATTAAAATAATTTTATGTAAATAAAGAATTATTACAATTTAAAATGATTATAATATTTCAGGATTGTAAACATTTTACGAAATCAGTTTTATCCGACAAAACGATTACTACTATGTCTGCTAACTTGATATCTACTTGCAATAAATTGTATGACGCTCTTGAAGCTAATAAATATGATAAAGCGATCATACAAAATGCTAAAACAGTTTTGAAGGAGAACTCTTCTTGGATTTATTCGGCGAAATCGTTTAGTAAGAAAGTGGCGACATCTTATTCTGAAGCGTTTCCGGACTTAGCAAAGCCTTTGGAAAATTCTTTATCTCAAATAATCTACAGTGTTACATCTTTAGGTGATTTAATAAGAGAATTAATAGTGAAGATAGAACAAGGTCCATATTTACGTGACGTTTTATCGTCGTTACTGTTGTATCCGAATGATATACTGAATAGGGATGCAAGGGAAAAACATCTTAATAGATTTGTTTCGGCGAATTTCTTGCAAATGCTAAATAGAAATATTATTGCGGCTAATGATGATGCTTATCAAGCTGAGTTGGAATGCCTTCAGTAAGTAAAATATGTACATATATATAAAAAAATATATATTAATATTGTAAAACAATGGTTTTAGCTTAAAAAAAGGTTTTTTACATTTTTTCGCGGATTTATATTAATTTTTGGCTCTCGACCGTTCCAATGCTTTACAGCAAATGTGGTCACGTGAGAGACAGACAATTTCAAAATATTAGTTTTTTAAATGTCAAATGTTCCTGTAAATCTATGAAATTATTATTTAAAAAAATGTGTTAAAATTTTATCGTTTAAAAATTAAAGTTGATCGTTATGCTAGCGGATCCGGTAGGCAACGTGGTCCGTCTACATACCTCGTTTAAATTAAAAAAACATTACCTGAATTATATGTCGTCAATAGCGTCACCTACCGAATCCAACGACAGCTCAAAACCATTCAGGCGAATGCCGATGCAGGCGATACGTAGATTTTTTTTTATTGAAATGTGCCTAACTCCTAAACAGTAGAAAAACAAATGCGAAAATACGCACACGGAATTTCTATTTATAAAGATAAGCTATATAAGTATATGTATGTACAATAATGTACGTAACATATTTTAGCTTTTGACATTCGCCATAAAAGCTGTTCATCCAATAAATTTTGTAAATGAAAACACGCAAACTAATTTAAAACTATAAAAAGTGAGAAAATAACAAAAACTATTTACTTTTAGGGTGTTAAAAATGAATTTAACAGAACTTAGTATGAATTGCCAAGCGTTAGAGCAAATAGATACAGTGTCTGTGGCTGCTGTGGTAGCAACTCTCAACGCGCTAGTGAACACTTGGGAGAAGCAACGACAGGCGATTGAGAAGCAAAAGCAAGATGAAGAAGCCTTATATGTTACTAAGTGAGTAAATCTATTATTATATCTATTATTATTATTATTATATACTAGCATTGTCTTCGGTTTTACCTGATTTTTACTTCTTGAAAATATTTTTTTCCAATTGCTTAGAGGTTTTTTTCCAATTGCAATTTGGTTCTATGAATCAAATTTTGATAATGTATTATTGGCTATGGTTAAAATAAACAAAAATATTTTATAACAAATTTAAAATGATATTTTTAGTTTTTAATATGTAGATGTAATTTTTTTAATTTGTTTTCTGTTTCTGTACCTAAATAAATAAAATAAAAATATAATTTAAATCTGTATTATATAGTATTTTATAATCCCTGTTCTATGGTCATTGGGTAGGGTTTTGTCATAATATTGATTTAAATTAAAATTAAAAATGAATTATTTAATCTTAGTTAAATGAGCAAGCTGTGGTCTCCTATAAGTGTAGGAGCGCATGTATTGTGAGTCTTATTTGCTTTTTGTTTTTATATGATATTGTATATTATGTATATCTTCTGTTGGAGATCCTAAATAAAATAAAATTATACAGATCAAAATGCGAAGACGAGGACGAAGAAGCGATGGCGTACGAAGAAATAATGGAGATGTTCCCATCGTATTCTGAATCTGATTTCTCTGATTTTAAACCACCATCTCTAGAACAGAAAAAGATTAAACCCCCAACAGAGAATCCAAAACATTTGATAACTCCGGACGACATATCTCTGATATACAAATGGCACAGCAACTTAGTACGTAACATGACGAATGCAGTGTGGTTAACCAGTCCAAAGAAGTTGGTAGGGAACGACGTTGTTAGTTCGCTGCTGTTGAGATATCCCACATTTAGCAAGGTTATACAGAATTCGTGGGAAGCTTTAGATGCTGACTTTGAAGGTGCTATCGCGCCTAGCTTATTGGTTCTCGTGTCCCATATTAAGGATAAAGTCGATGGTGTTGGTGAGTATATACATACATTTTTTTTTTTCAATTTCATTATAATTTTACTGATAAACTTGCGGAACGATCAAGAGATATATATCATAATTCTGATTGTTTTATTTTTGATTTCGATAACTTTCACGTATAGATAATTTTTATATTTTTTTCCAATATTTATTACTTATAAAATTAATGATTTTATATAATCTATACTAATATTATAAATGTGAAAGTTTAAATAGAATTCAGATGTTTGGATGTTTATTACTAAGTCACGCCACAACCGCTGAACGAATCTGGATGAAATCTGGCACAGAGATAGATTATAGTCTGGAATAGCACATAGGCACTTTTTATCCCGGAAAAATGTAGGGTTCCCGTAGGATAGATTAGTTTTTCTATATTTTATTATATATTCTGTCAACGCTAATATCGTTAGTGTTTGTTTCAGTTGGAAGTAACCAAAAAGTAGACTTCTATCGGTCAGTCTGGGTGTCTGAAACTAGAGAATGCCTTCCCTTATTGCATAGGGTCAGAGAAAATGCTAATGAGTTGTTAGACCAGTGGCCTGACTTTCCTACACTCAAAGATGTAAGTGAAATATTTATCATTAAAAACTACCTCTAGTTTGAAATTGCTCTATGAAACTCAACTTTTTTTAGATTCTTTAACTGATGGTTTTGTTATGCATGTTAACATATAAATAAATTCCATTGAAACTATTTTAATATAAAATCTGACTTGCTCATCTGACTGTGTTTCTAAATTCAATCGATTGCTCTGCATATCGACCATACAAGATATTTATTGACCAACTTTAAAAAGTAAGAGTTATTTCATCTATTTTTATTGAGTTAATGTACGCAATATTTTCTGTATATGAAAACTGATTTTAATAAATATTTTTTATAGATATATGATTTAGTTTCTCTTCTTATACTTTTATCTATACTAATATTGTAAAGAGGCAGATATTGTTTGTTTGTTTTTTTGATTGTTTGAACGCACTAATCTCAGGAACTGCTAATCCGATTTTAAACATTCTTTTTGCATTACATAGCCCGTTTATTGAGGAAAGCTATAGGCTATATAATATTATCATGCTACTACCCAATCGGGAGGAACAGTAATCATAAATGTGAACAAATCGGGCAGACTTCCATACATTATTGTAAAACTGATGTTCATAATCAAACAAAAACGCAGGTGAAACCGCGGGGCACAGCTAGTAGACTGAGTATAAATAAAAGAAAAAATCTATTTTGAAGGTGATACTTTTAAAGACGGTGTAGTTTTTGATTTAAATATGATAATTATTATTATTACAGATCATAGTAATAGTGGATAGAATTCTCAGTTTCCCAATAACTAGCCCCGTTTCACGTTTCCTTACGGGATTAGAATTGCTTCGTGATAAAATCGAAGAGTGGAACAAAAATGCACACAAAGGGAACAACATGATAGACGTGTCGTTAGCTGTGGGCCAGCAAATAATTAATTGGAGAAAACTCGAAATGAGCCATTGGAAAGAGTGCCTTAACAACTTACACCAAAGGTATATATTTCTTTAACATAATATTGCATTGCGATTTTTATTATTTGAAAGCTTAATTATGTATTATAATTATTATGAGATTGTTGAAGTTATAATTCTTATAGCACGTTTGGAAAAATTATAAGAGTAAAATTTTTACGATGCGCGCGCGCACTGACAAGTTAGTTGCATTCCTTTTACAAACAGAGAGTAGTGATATACGGGTTAAAATCTTTAGCTATTTTTGTTCTGGTACGCCAAAGAAGTATAACTTCTTTCGTGCGTACATAAGCTCACAAACACATTTTTTTTTGTATTAGAATGTATTGTGTTTCTAGGAACAAATGATTTTTATGAATTATAATGGAATATTTGTATAAAAATATTTCCTTCAATTTTTTAATGTTTCTTCATGTTATGTTCAAATTATAGTTTTAAGTGTAGTTTTGTTAGGAATGTATATTTTTATATATACTAGATACTCACCCTCGCTTCGTTCCGGTTCGTCTCTAGGTACGTTTTGACGCTTAGTATGGAATAGATTTTTTTATATATATTTTTTCGGGATTTTTTCCGATGTTTTAATAAATATTCTGCTATTCGGGGTGAAGACAAATCCAACAAAACAAAGATCATAAAAATCGGTCCAGCAGTTCTTGAGTTATAAGTGTTGCAACAAACTCGACTATATTTATATATATGATGCATGATATAGATATATTTATTATATTTAAATGCGTGACTGAGTTACCGGATCAAGTTGATTAATCTATTAGTTATCTATTATCTGTGGATGAATTAATATGTGAATGAACTAGCGAGAAGTAGAGTTGAAGCCGTAAGATGTTTGAAGGAAAGTAAGAGTGTGAAAGAAGTACGACGTATTTTTGATAAAATAAGAAGTTTATTATACCTGAAAATGTCTTTGTCTATTCTCCTACATATATGTATGTAAAGATTTACCTGTGGATTGTGTGAATAAAAAATTAACGGAAACGTTTAAATTACTTTGTAGAAAACAATCGGAAGCCCACAAATACTGGTTCTATATGTACGCGGTAATAAACTCCTATTTAGATCCAAGTCCTGATGACTCTGTATCTTCCACAAAAATAGTGTCAGTGTTGAAAGACTTCATGGAGAAGTCCAATCTGGCTGAATTTGAAATAAGATTGGACATAGTTTTTGTCTATCACTGCCATTTAGTGCATTTGGAGCGTAGTGAGAGACGAGGTATGTAAAATATCACTTTTTTTCATTTTCGCTTTCTATAATTATATAATGATCACAGTATGGGACTTCAATGTGTGAATTTGTAAGTGGCTAAATATCTTACTCTCGACGTTTCGTCTGGATTGCATCAGCCGTGGTCACGGACAGACTCACAACTCGAGTATGTAAAATAAAATAATAAACAAATCCTCTTGACTGATTTTGATTACGTTGGCTTGTCTTGTTGAGACATTTAATTTAACTGCCTTGGTGGTCTAGTGGCTAGCATGTTCGGCCGTAGATCCAGACGTCCTGGGTTCGAGACTTGAGTCCCGGGTCGGGCCAAGTTCAGATATTGAGTATTCCTGTCAAGAAATTATCAGTAACAGCCCTGCGCTGGGAAGTAGGAATAGAGAGTGAGATTAGCCGCCGTCGCCCAAATCGGTTGGGAGGAAATTATTATTTAGATGTCGTTTACAAATACTCTATTCCCTTCACTCTGGTAGAAGGGAATACAATCAAGGTTATACAAACGGTAAGAAATCAGGCATAAGACCGAGGCTTTATATTCTTTTACCATACTAGAATCTAGGGTGCAGCTAAGTATGTAATATTAGTGGGGTTATTTAGTTGCAATGCACATTCACTTTGTGTGTCAATATTACCAGATTCGATTTCGACACTCAAGACTGATGCTAGGTTCTACCCGGTCTTGTTATTATAAGAGCGAAATACTGTTGACTTGATGACCAAAAACTAAAATAAGGGTGAACATTTATGTTTCTCTATTAAACACTAGCGATTCGCCCTCGCTTCGCTGTGGTTCGTCCCTAGGTACATTTTGACGCTTAGTATGGAATACATAGACTATATACATGTATCTATATAGGTATGATGAGTTTTATATCCCATACTTAAGAAATGTTTGATTCCTCATATAAAATTCCATCCCCCTTTTAACCCCCTTAAGGGATGATTTCCGGGATAAAAACTATCCTATGTCTTTCCCAGGGTCTTATTCTTCAGGGTCTTCATTCATTATAATAGTATTGCATGGATTTGCTTTACTTTTCAGATGAACTTCTGTCAATATTATGGAATACATACAATTATTACGCACAGTTTTCTTCGCAAATCGCAGCAGTAATTAAAGAGAAACGCGCGCCGATTGAGAAGAAATTACGAGATTTTGTTAAAATATGCTCGTGGGACAGAGATCTTAGCTACTGGAGTGTTAAGGACACTGTTGAAAAAGCACATAAAGTGCTCCATAAACATACTAAAGACTTTGAGGTTCGACTTTTTTGCAATATATTTTCCAAGTTTATTTCCTTTTTTCATTTGGAATAATTACTTTTTCTACTAGACAGCTTCATTGAAATAAAAAAAAAGATAATCAGACACGGTATTGCCAATTGTTTTAAATTTTACAAAAAACAAATTAATTAATGTTCAGAAAGTTCAATAGATGACCACACTCCTTGTAATGTATCAAGTAAAACCTAGTTATTATAAGAAATTTAAAACTATTAACCTTGATATAATTCAAACAAATAACGTTCCCTCCACAGAAAGTTCTAAAAGAAAGTGTAGAAAGTTACCTAGTGGATACAACGAGCGAGGTGGGCGCCGACCACGTGGGCATCTGGGACCGGCCCAAGCGCGCCACGCCCGGCGCGGCCGCGGCCGGCGGCGCCTACATGATCGACGTGCAGAACCATATTGTACTCGCTAGGAATATTAAGGTGAGGACTGTTTTTAAATAATATAAATTCGCGAAAATATCCGAAAAGATAGTTTTATTTAAAATGTCAAATGTTCGCATAAATCTAAGAAAATATTATTGTGAGGACTGTTTTTAAAGTTATACTTCTTTTGGCACGTTTGGAAAAAGATATGAGAGTTAAATTTTTCATATAACATTAACAGCCATGGCTGGATTCAACCTTAGCGCCGCCCAGGCATAGTAAAAATTGCCGCTCTATTGTCGAAATTTTGCATAAAACTGATAAAGTTTTGATAAAGTATTTTTTTAATTATTAATTTTTTGAATAATACATAAAATTAATTTATAAAATATGATTTCAACTTTTCGAAAAATGTATTTGTTCTTTTTTTCATTTTTTTTTTGGAAAGTAAGAAGCGTTTTCGATAGCGCGAAGACATTTTTTTCCACCTTCCGAATTTGGCCGTCCTGGGCACTAGCCTCGAGTGCCCCTGGTGTAAATCCAGTGCTGCGGCGACAGCCAAAAAGCGACAAGATGAAGTTAGGACAAAGCGACATGGTTAAGTTAGCTGAATTCCTTTTACAAACAGAGAGTTGTGACATACGGGATGAAATCTTTAGCTATTTTTTTCTGTTACGCCAAAGAAGTATAACTTCTATGTGCACAGTTCAAATCCATGTACACACACACACTTTTTTTTATGAGGAAACTTTCTATGTGTGAGATTTTCTGGTTTTCTGGTGCTATTTAAGCAATTTTTGTGATGTATGTATTTGGTAATGGATGCTGAAAGTAGTTTCATATTCAAAGTAAATATAATATTATTTCATATTTCTTTTCTTATCAGTTATTTTTTTATTATCAGGGTCTATTCTTTATATTTCTTATTATGTAGAATTCAACGACATATATTGTATTACATATATTTATTACACTTGATTTATAAATTAAACTCTTTTCTTCTAAAATCTAAATTAATTTAATATGACTTTTTTTAAACTAAATATTTATATGTATTTTTGTATATTTACTACTATATTGAACACTAACAAAAATTAATATTGCAGAAATACTTAGACCAATCAGAACAACCGTGCTCAATAATATCAGAAAGTAGTCTGCTGTCCAAAGTGCCAACGTTACTAAATAAAGCCAAAGTATTGTGTAAGGATACGATTGCAAACAGTGGTTATCCAGCTTTAGTACAGAGTTTAGATGACTTTGTGACACTTGTGATTGAGACCAGCGCTCATCTGGGATCGTTAGAGGTAACTATATTAATATTCTCAGTATATATTCTTAGCAGAACTACTTATTAGTAGTTCCTCACTAACTTGCATAGTGGTATTTAAATTTAATATAAGAGCAGTGGTAGCCCAGTGGTAATGCGCTCGCTTGAGAAACCAAGTGAAGCGGGTTCAAATCCCGGGTCTCGCGCCTCCGATATTTTCATGTGCGAATCATTTCTAACATGATTACCACTTGCCTTACGTTGAAAGAAAACATCATGATGAAACCTGCATGTCTGAAAGAACCTAGCAAGTTTTCGAAAGACATGTGAAGTCCGCCAACCCGCACTTGGCCAGCGTGGTGGACTATGGCCTGATCCCCCTCGTATTGAAGGGAGGCCCGTGCCCAGCAGTGAGACGATAAAAAGGGATACATTAATTTTTTTTAAAAATAGCTATGGGCAAAATTTTATTACTTGATCATTTGATTATGCCGAATAAATACTATCGCTCTCACTGTAACTTACCTATTTTATTATAACTTCTTAGTAGAGGGATACTAAATTTTGCTGATATGCAGTAAAAAAAAACCAAATTTAATCTCAATTATGTAATTGTGATGATGAAATGATTTGTTTTTATAAGGATTTTTTTATTGTATTTCAAATAACCATTATTTTTTAACATACAATATGACGACACGTTTGGCTCAGTTTGTAGTGACTTTACTTGCTGTGCCTGCGGTCGCGGGTTCGAGTCCCGCTGGGGGTATTCATTTGTGTGATGAGCACGAATGTTTGTACTCCAGTATGGGTATATTATATTTATAATATGTTGTATTTAAAGTTATATATGTGTAGTGTATCAACCATCTGGTACCCATAAGATATGCCTCGTAACTTAACATGGAACTAGATGCTGCTGTGTGTTAATATATTTATTTATTTCCATATAAACTATAAGAGTTAAATAATATATTGTGATTTTTTATAGAACTATTAGAGTCCCACACTTTCCATACATTATTTTCATTTATTACAACAACCGTTTTTACAGTGTACGTCAAATAACTAAACCTATAATATTTTATTTTCAAGGCGGAAGCATCAGCGGAGAAAGAAAAACAAAAATCTCAAGCGAAGAATATAATTCAACAAAAACGTAAAGCTCTCGCAGATCTATTCAAGTATTTGGCGAAAATGGGACTCAATTACAGGACAGGTTTGGTGATACTCTCAGCGTCGGAAGAATTGTATGACTTTACCATACCGCCAATCGATTTGGACGCAGCTATGAGCTATTTGAAGAGCAGGTTTGTGTATGAATGCTTATTGCTTTCTTTCAGTTTTTTGTTCTTAGGTTTATTTAGTTATTTGTGATTGAGACTTCAATAAAGCGGAACTATCTTAGAAATGGGCTGTTCATTTCTTTTATATATTAAGGATCTACGATGTTTCTGCCCTATTTTGTATTTCTGTATCTGTTCTACAGTTTTATTTGCACCATTTTAGAGTTTACCCTCGATATATCCATTGTACATTTCTTAATGTTATGTATTATTTGTAAAACGGTTTATATATATATATATATATATATATATATATATATATATATATATATATATATATTATATATATATATATATATATTATATATATATATTATATATATATATATATATATATATATATATATATATATAATATTTTAATATTCCAGGCGATGTGACCAAACATTACTCATGCTGTGGTCGGGGTGTGAGAAGTACTTCCAGAAGAACATTGCTCGCCACAGACTCTTTAGTGGTGCGTTACAATCACCGCACAGCGACCTCGGTATACAAAACATTGAGAGATGCAAGGGTTTTGCTGCACAATTGTTGGTAAGACTTTGTTTTTATATAGTATTAATATATAGATTTTTCGTTAAACTGTAAAAAAAGTTTCTTGATAGTTTTTATCATTTTCTTTTAGAAGACGTTTTAGATCTTTATGTAACTCAGCTATATATTTGTATTATTTCAGAAATTAACAAACACTCAAAAGAAATCAATATCCAAATACACAAACTACATATGTGCATTGCGTACAGTGACTACGAACCTCACTAACGCTCTTGAAGCAGACACTTGTAGTACTAATATTACTACTTTGAAAAATAAACTGGACATTTTAGTCAAATGCTACGCGCAAAGTAGCATCTTACTCGATCAATTTTGTATTGTCCTTAAGTCCATACCTGAAAAAGGTATGAATTCTAATTTGGGGCCAGAATTTGATATTGTTTTATCCGACTCGCCCATAGCGCGATGTTTCAAAGATAGCGACGAATGGAAAGAACTATATAAGAAAGTCAAAGCCATTATAACCCAAGTCGATAAACAAAAGGCGGCCCTAACTAAATTAGTAAAATCCAACCCCAAACAATTCGGTAACGTAATCGATTTACCAAACGTTTCACAAACTCATATCGATATTGTTGAAGATGCTAAGAGTAATCTACAAACGATAATCGAGAAGAGTGAGGTGATTTTACAAGAATATAGTTTTAGATTAAAGACAAAAATTATTGACGGTTTCCTCCCACAACATCCATTACTGCGCAGTATTGAAAATTTAGTGAAATATCTAAAAGAAACTCTAAAAGACCTAAATAAACTAGACGAGTCTAACGACCAAGAAATGGATGAAAAGCCATCCAATACAATAATTGCCCAAGCAGAAGACATCGTAGCGACAATGTTACTAATGATCCAGTCACTTTATAAAAAACATCTACGCGCAAATAAAAGTATGGAAAATATCGATGTTTTAAATGCAATAGACGAAATAATCGATGAATGTGGAAAAGAGAAAGAAGAATCTAAAGAAATTTTAGAAGATAAACATTTGAAGGAACTCTTACAAGACAGTATAACAACAGATTCAAAATTATTACAATTGGATACATTGATTAGTAAAATGCGTTCATTATTAATCGATTATGTCGATTTTATCGCGTTTAGATCTGACATAGATGGAGTAAGGACAGCAGTGATGAGAGTGGTGCCAATATTAGAGCAAGTTGTGCTCTTTGTTCAATACTTCGTATCGCAAAAGGTTGCCGTACACAGAGTATCTTGTAAGATGTTGTCGGTGTTGTTGAAGATATTCTCAGATCTTGCTACTAAAGGGTATGGCTATTAACATTTTAGTTTTATTATTAATAGTAATAATTTGATTATTGGTTTTGATATATATTTTTTATGAGAAGTATGTATGTATTTAATGCTGTTTTAATCATATTAAGTTTTAACTTAGCTCAACAAATTATATATGGCATTAAAAATTAAAATATTTTTTTCTATCCCTAAATTCCATTACATATACATGCATTATTTATATTATTCTATAGTTATTTATTTATTACTTTAATAAGAATATCTTAGACACCAAATTTGTAATTTTTATATATAATATGACAGGTTCTGTAAACCATCTGACCTCGATATGGAAGGCGAAGGTGAGGGCGGTCCGGGAAAGCTTTCTGGAGGAATGGGTCTCGGTGAGGGAGAGGGGCAAAAGGATGTCTCTGAAAGAATCGAGAATCAAGTAAGAAATACCATATTAATACCTAGTAAAGAATAATAATAATCTCCTTCTGAACGCTCATTACTTCAAAGATTACACTCAATATTGTTTGCTCACTGTGCTGAAAATATTATTTCATTCGTACATTTTTCATTTTTTTTATAACACTTGTATAATAGTAACTCACTAGTCTGAGTCTGTAGATGCCCTTCGCATTTATAAAATTACGAGAACAGAAGGGATGGTTTTTTCCGATTTATTCACAAATATCATCACCGATAGCTTATTTTCACAAAATGTTTGTATTCAGCCCTTTTTAATGTCCCACTGCTGGGCACGGGCCTCCCTTCAATACGTGGGGGGATCAGGCCATAGTCCACCACGCTGGCCAAGTGCGGGCTGGCGGACTTCACATGTCTTTCGAAAACTTGCTAGGTTCTCTCAGACATGCAGGTTTCCTCACGATGTTTTCCTTCACCGTAAGGCAAGAGGTAATCATGTTAGAAATGATTCGCACATGAAAATATCAGAGGTGCGAGACCCGGGATTTGAACCCGCTTCACTCGGTGTCCCAAGCGAGCGTGTTACCACTGGGCTACCACTGCCTTAAAATGTTTACAAATATTCAAAGCCATTCCTTCCTTGAAGGTTACTTCAAGAATCTAAACTATTAGGAAAATCGGTCATCTAGATTATTTCTCAGTCTCAGAAAACTCATTGCGGCGGGGAACTTCAATTTATAATATATAATGATGATGATATAATTCTTCATACTTTTAGGATCAATTAGACGACGCTCATCGGCCGGGCGAAGAGAAGAATGAAGAAGATCGCGACTGCAAGGAAGAAGAGAAGGGAGTTAATATGACAGACGACTTTGACTCACACTTGCAAGATGTGGAACGAAAAGGTATCTGTCGCCATTACGATAAAACTAATTGTAAAACTTGATGTATTATGCATTGTTGCGAAAGATACTACATATATGTACAAGACATGCTAAAAAGTGATTGAAAAATAGGTTATACAAATTCCCTAATATATTTATTGTATGTTTTTTAACTTTATTTTAAAATAGCTTACTTTCGCATGTCTTATTTTATTATAAATAATTGACTGTGTACTCCTGCCTACATTATTATTATTAATTATTGTATTACTTTATTATATAAAAATTTGTTAATATTACAATTACTTGCATAATAATATTTTATTTTATTTTTAATATATTTGTTTTCATTTAAATTAATTTTAAAATGTTAATTATAGAAGATGAAGAATCAGATCAAGAAGACGATAAAGACGATGCGGATAAACAGATGGGTGATACAGATAATGCAGCTGAAAAGTAAGTAAATTTTGTTTAAATTACAAAAATATTTTTTGACAATAAAATCATTTTTTCACTAATATCGTAAGTAAACATCTGCTTTTAAATATCTCTAATGAACATTAACGTGGTCCAATTTTAATAGAAAGTTCATAAAAGCAAATAACAAGGCATTAATAAGAAAAATCTAATTAAAAAATAACGATAAATACTATTTCTTAAAATATAAGGCTAGACCAACAAATATGGGGCTCAGAAGACGAAGAAGACATGGAAGAAGATGGTAAAAAAGATAAAGAAGAGAAGGGAAAAGGTGAAAGTACAGGAGAGAAAGAGATGGCTGCGAAGGAGCAGGAACAAGGAACTGATGACGGGAATGAGGGGAAAGAGAAACAAAAGAAAAAGGATATCAATGAAATGGAAGAGCCTGAAATTGATGATGATCATGTAAGTTTGGTCACAAAATTCTTATATTTTCTTTTAATTTAGACTTTAAATTATAGTATGTATTGATGTGATAAATCTTATAATCTTAAAATCTTAAGGAGCGATTCTTGTATATAAATGTTTTTCGTGTATCTGAGAAACGGCGCTAACGACTTGGATCAAATTTTGTATTAGATAAAGATTTTCTTTTTAAGTTTATCTATATTTAAAAAAAACTTTTGTAACTATTTATTTTTTATCTATCTGCTCTCATGCTGATAATGTCATATAGCGCCATCTCGTAAATGTTTGTGCTACTTGCATTGTCGCCAAACCTGAAATACCTTACGCCGAGCGAAGCTCGATCGCCCACTTACTTAGTAATTAAACATGCTACAAAATTTAACATCTGCTAGATTGATCCTTACCACGGTAATCAACAACAACTCCCCGAACCAGAAGATTTTGAACTGCCCGACAACATGGATATGGACGGCGAGGATGGAGATGATGATAAGGTGGAATTTTTTTATTAGTATTTAATTACATGATTTACGTAAATATTTAGTACTATTTGTTATCAGCCATTTCATACTATATAGCTTATTATATTTTTATATACTTCCTAAATCTCCCTTATCGCCAGTGCAGTAGTAATGAAACTGATTAATATGAGATATATAAACAAATATAACTTATTCCAATACATATTTGTTATAAAGTAAAAAAAATAGTAGGAACCTTTCATTATTTAAACTCGATCGATTTTTAATTTTAATTACTTTTAATAAAAAAAATATACTTGATCTTTAATTATACTACATTGTTTATAATATTAGGATGGTGAAACGGAAACAGAAAATCCATTCGAAATAGATGCAATGAAAGAAACAATACCAGAAGAAGAACCCAAAGAGAAAGAAAAAAAGGGCAATAAAGACGGTCTAGAAGTTTCCAGTGACGAAGAAGATGGAGGAGACGATAAAGAACAGGTAAAGTAAAAAAAAATCTATCATTTATGCAAATGATAGAAAAATCATCGTCTCCCAAGAAGTTTTGCTGACAATTAATTTTCATATCTAGTTATACTTATTTTTATATTTATTTATTGTACAAGTATTTAACTGATTTATACTAACAAATAATAAACATAGCTACTTTTATGTAGAACAAAGAGGGCGCAGAAGAAATAGAAGAAGACAAAATTGACTCAAATGATGCTGATGCTGAACAAAATGAAGAGGATACTAACAACGATGAAAAAGATAAAGACCAAGCAGATACTAATCCAGAAACCGAACCCGAAGGCGAACCGGAAACTGCATTAGAATCAGAAGAACAAAAACCAGAAGAAAAAGAAGATGAAAACTTGCCCAAGAATCCTGAAAATATAAATAATGAAGAAGTAGAAGAAAAACCACACGAGGCCAATCCACAAGCAAATCCGTCGAATGAAGATCCTTCTGCAGAAGACAAGGTGGAAAATGCAGAAATGGAAAGAGGAACAAATGATAACGTTGAGACGAACACTGAACAGACCAAAGATGAGGATGCTGCGCCATACGTGAGTATACTTTATATAAATATGTACGAGCAGCCCCTAACGAGATTCAATGAGTACTTCATTGACTATATATTCTGTGAATCTAAAATACTCATATTCCGTTAAACGTGGCCAGATGATGCTAGAACTTTACCGTTTAGAAGGTGCAATAAAAATATTTTTATTTTGTATGAAAATAAAAATTTAAGAAATATTATTTTTTTATTGTTACAAATGTTGTTGTTATGATGTAAACAGTATATTCCCGAAAGGTTTTTAGTAAATTAAAAATGATCCTGTATTGCGGTATTTTTAACAGTGAAAGCTCTGGGATTTAACTAGCCTAAATCTTTTTCTGGTTCATCAAAATAATAAATTTATTATGCTATAATATGTAACTTTGCTCCTAACTTCTATACCATTCAATAGACAGTGCCAGATGAGATGTTGTATACATTAATTAAAACGATATCTTCATGACCTATTTAGGCCACAGCGGCGAATCACACTGAGATTAGCCAGATGCGCAGGAGATATTATAGTGCACAAGTGTACGAGTGGACATAATTCTTGACTCTCTATTCTTGTTACTGTCATACTCCGGTAGGCACCTGGGTGAAACACTGCAAAATTTCCAATTCCGGGCTGTTACTGAGACTTTCTTAACAGAGAGATTCGATAAATAAAGTTGTCCCGACCCAGAATTGAACCGAGGACCACGTTACCCACTAGACCATAGAGGCAGACACGTTACATATACATTAATTTAAGGTATTTCAAATGGATGTTATTACTATTATATTATTATACTGTGTTATTCAGGAACAAATGCAAGAACAAGTAGGTGAAGATATCCAATCGACGGGACGCTCAGAGCTCGACAAGAGTGACAAAGGGCACCGTGGTGAGAAGCAACCAGCTAGAGCAGAACGTGCGAGAGACGAACAAAAGCAGTTTGAGAATAAACCTGGGAAGACAGATCAGGAACGGACCCTTGGTGAGTGGGATTTATTATATTTATTTGTATTAAATGTTGGCTTTGCTGAGATGCTATTTTTTGGGTTCCTACCGTCCTATCGTTCCTACGATGGAAAAATTCTATTCCACTTCTTGATCCTGGATGACATGATCTAAATGTGCCATTTTAAATGTTTACAAAAATGTAATTATTCTAACTTCTTCAGAATCTTAGTTATCCACTCGCTATTTTTTATGAAACAATTCAATTTTATTCCTTTGTGCCTGGCATGGTTTTAAAGCGTACCAGTTGAGCACAGATTACTTCATCAATGTCACGTCACAATCACACGTGTCACAATGTAGAGATCTCTTAAAGAAATAAGTCATTCTTTGTACACACGGTATCTGTTTTCTATTTTTATGTGTATTTTTGTGGTACATCCATACTAATTTTATAAATGTGAAAGTGTATTTGTTTGTACTTGTTTCACGTCGAAACGGAAAGACAGATTGGCGTGATTTTTTGTGTGAAGATAGTTTGAGAGTTGGAGAGTGACATAGGCTACTATTATTTACCGCGGGAGATTATCTAATTCCCACGGGAAAACACGTAAATCGTAATACAACCCAAAAAATATTTATGATCAGGATTACTTGAAACTTGGTATTAATGCTCTTCAATAAAATTGAATAAATATGTTTTTTAGCACTTTTCGAAATTCATCCTATAGGGGGCTAAAATTTGTATGAAAGTTTGTACGAAACTACCAGCTTTTTTTGTAGTTTTAGCGCGAGCGAGGCTTCTGGTTCTGCTAGTAAATAAATAAATAATTCTAATCATGCCGTCTCCCAGGTGATGTTAACGAAAAGAAACATAAGAAGGCGCACACACTGAACACTGAGCAAGAGGAGTCGGAGGAGGTCGGGGAGGCGCAGGAACAAGAGCAAGAGGCCGACGCGTACCAACATGTGAAGCAAGCGGGGAAGGATGATATGCAAGTATGTGTCTCATTAAATACTAGACTTTTAATAGAAAATGGCACGCCTTGGGAATGAAGTAATTGTATTCAGGCTACTTCAATTTTATAGAAATATTGTAATTTATAATTAAACTTCATAAAAAAAGATAATGTAAGTAATATTAGTCCCGCTGAGTTTCTTTCGCCAGTTCTTCTCAGGTCTGAGGCTTCTTCTTTCCGAACTGGTAGTAGACTCATGACGTTCAGTAAAAATTGTCATAATTTAATTCTGGATAAAATATTTTGAATTTTAATGAATGAATTTGAATTTAAATATGTTGGGATACAAATATGCTAGGACCTTAACACAGCACCAACTAGTTCCATGGTAAGTTACGAGGCTTGTGTTATGAATACCAGATAGTTGATATACTACACATATAATATAACTTTTAAATACATACATATTATGAATATAAACAACACCCTTGACTGGAGTACAAACATTCGTGCTCATCACACAAATGTATGCCCCCAGCGGGACCCGAACCCGCGACCGCTGGCACAGCAAGTCACTACAAACTGAGACAAACATGTCGTAAGGATAGTTTAACAACCATATAATTAAGTAGGGTTATGGTTGACATCATTAACCAATAACACAAATACCCTAAAACAATGATTTAACCCTGAAATACCATAGATCAAAAAAGAACTAGATAAACAATCCCATGCAAAAGTTAACTAATTATTCTAGTTGAAATAAACATACAGTAATGTAAATTGAACCTATAATGCAATGGTTAAAGTTGTTTAAATGTTCAAATGAGCGCTCATTCGGTGAGAACATTTTTTGTCGCTGATTGTGTATCTAGTATTATTTTGATCGAGGTGAAATACTGATTAGTTTTCAATTCATTGTAAACGTAAAGTTAGATTTTTTAGTTGCTTTGTAATCAATAAATGTTGTCAATTCAATTCAATTTTAAAATTCAATTCAATTAAGTTGGCAAATAAGTGATGTCGCAGGTTGCTATTAGCATACACAATATACAGAGAATCGCGTTTTGAGAGCTAAAAAAAACAAAGCTGATTGGTAGTGCCAATTACCCAATTACACAATAACCAAGTTACCACCAAACCACGACCTTACAGAAGTACTATGCTAATTAACAACTACTTTTTATCATGTCCAATTATAATTTCAAAGGAAACTAGAAATTTTAAACATATTATATGGTAACAAAAATCATTTTAGGTTGTCGATGCAGCGACAAAAGAACAAGCTGATGAGCAACCAACTCTGCAGCAAGAAGAAGATGAGGAAGCAGAGAAAATGAAAGAAGACGAAGAAGTAGCTATGGACGTAGATGATGATGATATACAGGTATATTATGATTACACCAATATATATTTTTTTAAACTAGCGATTCACCCTCGCTTTGCTTCGGGTTCGTCCCTAGACAAAAACAAATTATCCCACGGGAACCGTACATTTTTACGGTATAAAAAGTTCTATATGCTATTCCAAACTATAATCTATCTCTGTGCCAAATTTCATCCACATCCGGTCAGCCGTTCTGGCATAAAAGGGTAAAAAAATCCATCGGGATGTTTGTTACTTTATTATTATTGATGAATGAACATGTTGTCTATGAACTTTGACATGATATTAAAACATAATACAGAAATGCAAATAAATCATGATAATGATTAATGATTGATATTTTTAAGAATTAAATTGTTTTATTAAATAATTATAGGTAGAAAAATCTGAAGATCTAAAACCAGAGAAAATGAAAGAAGGCACAGATAAAGATCAAGATAAAAGTGGCAACAAGAAAGATGGCGGTGACGAAACCACCGGTGAGACTGGTATTGAAGTGGAGGGAGATACCGTGTTAACTGCGACCGTGTCTAGAGGACGCGACACCACTTATCATACTAAGTAAGTATACATCGGGTTTCATTAGGATAGGATTAAGGATATGAAACGAAGAGAAATTAGTTCAATGAAATGCCAATAGATGGCGTTATATTTATCGATTTGTTATTGATGTTGAAAAATTTAACCTTTTAACAAAAAACTAAATAAAGGATAATGAAATAAAGCAGTCATTATATAATGAGTTTGTTCTATTTATATATGGCACGGTTTACATTTTGTAAATTGTATAAAGATTATATTAAGAAATTACTGATAAAAACCAATTAATACTTTCTTATAACAAAAAAAATGAATACTTAAAAACTTAGGTAGAGTGATTCAAGAGGAAGGTTTATACGTATAATACATGCATATTATAATATAGAAAAGTCGAGAAATTCAAAGATTTGTATTTCATACTAACCTGCAATAAATTCAATGTTTTTAAGGCTCGAAGACACTCAACATACGGACAACATAACAGTGGAAGAGTACATAAGCATACGTCAGTGGATGGAGCGGGGCGCGGGCGGGGGCGGGACGGGCGCGGGGGGCGGGCGCGCGGCGGCGGCGTGGCGCAGTGCGTGGCGCGACTGCGCGGGGGACGCACGTGCTCTGTGCGAGCGGCTGCGGCTCGTGCTCGAGCCTACCGCGCGCTCGCGGCGTGCGGGTATGTACAATTTCTTTATAAAAAATCTGACTTATTTATATAGACGACGACGGCACGTTTGGCTCAGTTTGTAGTGACTCTACTTGCTGTGCCAGCGGTCCCGCTGTGGGCCTTCATTTGTGTGTTGAACACGAATGTTTGTACTCCAGTCATGGGTGGTTGTATTTATAATATGTATGTATTTAAAGTTATATATGTGTAGTGTATCAATTATCTGGTATCCATAGCACGGGCCTCGTAGCTTACCATGGAACTAGATGGTGTTGTGGGTTAATGTCCTAACATATTAACATATTGTCCCAACATATAAGACATTTATTATTATAGTATGGACGAACTAGACCTTCTTACCGGATTAGTTTTAAACATTATGTTTACAAAACAACAATATCTCATGTATAGGTTATCTGCTGGCAACATTATATGTTAAAGCGACATAAAAGTAAAATTTTATGTATTATTAATTATTCGCACTGAAATGTCTGGACAGATTTGGATGAATGCACAGATAGACCATGACCTAACTGTAATACAGGCTACGTTTAGGCACAGAGTTCGTATTTCCTTATAATCGTCACTATGATTTATTTGGCAAAATGAAATTTAATAATAATTACACTATATAAACTACAAATTCGAATGTTTCGAGTCATATGTGTACGCGCGGTTGTAAATCTGTTTGCGTTGCTGAGTGCGCGTGCGTGCGTGCGTAATATGTTAACAGTTACTGAAACGGCTGGACGGATTTAGGCTAAATTTTATATATATATACATAGATGAAATTCAGTAAATACACATATACATTATGACATATTATATATGAAAAAATAAAACGATATTTTCTAAAGCAAGTCTATCTAATTCTCAGGCGACTTTCGCACGGGTCGCGCTATCAACATGCGCCGTGTGATCCCCTACATCGCGTCGCACTTCCGCAAGGACCGCATCTGGCTGCGACGCACCAAGCCCGCCAAGAGGGACTACAAGATAGCAATCGCCATAGACGACTCCAGCTCCATGTCCGACAATAGGAGTAAGGAGCTGGCTTTTGAGAGCCTGGCTTTGGTGTCGCAGGTGATTATATCTTTATCTACCTCCGTCTTTTTGAAGTCAATTTAACTTGGCAAATGAGGAGGTATTTAATTTGGGTGTGTTAATTGTATGCAATTATTAATAAAAATAAAATTTTCATCTATTTATTAAAAAAAAAACTGTGTATCGGTTGTTGGAATTTTTTGTCAAAGTAATTGTTATTTATTAATATATCTTTATGTCCAAAGAAGATGATTGGTTATAAGTATACAACATGATTTGCTATATAAATGTTGTTGTCTTAGAAATTGGAATGTAAAAGTATTGTTATAAAATAAACATATTACATTCTTCATATTCTTAGTGCATCTCTAAAATAGTCAATTACTTATAATTTCAAATAAAATATTAAATTAATGGTTATATATTAATGGTCATTTATAGTTAAATCTATTAATTAACATGAAATATTTCATTTTATTTTTTCAGGCACTAAATCTCCTCGAATCTGGAGACTTAGCAGTATTAAGTTTCGGTGAAAAACCGAACCTCTTGCATCCATTCACTGAACAGTTCTCTGAACATTCCGGCGCGAAGATCCTAGAACAATTACGTTTTGAACAAAACAAGACAAAAATAGCTCAATTATTAGACTTTTGTACGGTTATGTTCGATCAGCAATCTATAAGAAGTGATGCTTTGAACGCTAAATTACTGGTTATAGTTAGTGATGGGAGAGGGATTTTCTCCGAAGGAGAAACGAGGGTGTTGCAAGCGGTCAGGCGAGCGAGACAGCAAGGCATATTTTTGGTTTATGTTATCATTGATAACCCGGATAATAAGGTAAGAATTATTTATATTGTGAATGCTCGTAAAAATTAAACATATTCAATAGTTAGTTATAAATGTCTGTGATTTCTTAGCAATAAATTTTAGTATATTTATATAGGTCTAGACATATTTTGACTGTTTGAGAGGACAGTAACAAATGCCTGGTATGTTATTGTATACAAAGAAATTTCTTTCTTTGTCTAACCATTTAACCATACTTAACATAAACAGACAAGAAAAACAAACTTCATATACACATAAACATGTCTTTTTTCTTCCAGGATTCCATAATGGATATAAGGCGCCCTGTACTTGATCCTACAACAAATTCTCTCTCCGGCTTCGTACCATACTTGGATACGTTCCCGTTCCCTTTCTACCTCATCCTACGGGATATGTCAGCGCTGCCAAATGTACTGGGAGATGCTTTGAGACAATGGTTTGAACTAGCCGCTAACACTTCTTGAACTTAAGTAAAAAGATTACATTTAAATAGATATAATTTTTTATAGAAATATGTATGGAAATGTCAAAGTAAATATGAAAAAATAGAGTTTAAATAAATAATTATGTTTTATAAGTCCTAAAGTGAACTGTTTGGTTGTAAGGAAGTATTTTTTTACAAAATTGTGTAGAATAAAAACGTAGTACATATTTTGTTTGTTATATTTGTCTATATTTAGTAGACGCCCATAATTTAAGTCAGTAAGACAAATGTGTATATTATAAAGAAATAAAATATTTCATCTCTCTCTCTCTCTCTTATTTATATAACTCTCTTAAATAAATATAATAATTACATAACAGTAATAAGTAAGGATGTTCATATTTCATAAACAAATTTTCATCTAATGTGTACCCAAAAAGTAAAAAAAAAAACAAATGAAATGAAAAAAATTATATGAAAGTTAATTCATATAATTCATGATCCTTTTATGTAGATAACACATCTATTTTTAAATAAATCAATATAGATTACTGGAATAGGAAAAGTGGAATGTAATTAAAGTATTGTAATTATTATTAGTTTTTTTTAACTAGTAAAATAATTGAATTAAAAATAACTAGTAAACTGAATTGAAGGGTTTCTGGAAGTAATCTCTAAGATATAAGTTATTCTTTGTCAACATTGTGTTACTTTATTTTATATTACATATAATATTTTATGGTACATAAATAAATTTCTTTTGAAAAACAAATAACGAAACTTACACATTATTTTTCACGTCCATACACCATTGGATATCAATTAACTCCTCCTGACTTTAATTTTAGTCATTCTTGAAAGTTTTGATGGAACTTTATGTATTTTTTGACAATATTTGGTTAGGTGAGAACCTTCACAATAGCATGGACACAACGAGACATGGAAGGTTGTGTGTGATACAAAGGTGTTGATATTACTTTTGCAGATTATCTGATAACTGCCACTTGGAAGAAATGACAGTGTACATAACAACTAAAAAATAAAATACTTTTTATAGATTAAAAAATTTAAGCTAATTAACTTCATTTATCACTTATATTTATAAATAAAGAAATATTTGCTTTGAGTAAACCTTGAAAACTTCAATATTTAAGGTACTTTTCTCCATGTTTCATCCACCTTGTATATTATGTACACAGTACAAGGATGAGCATTGTCATTTTTAAATTTTTGTGAACAATGGAAGTACCAAAATTGATCTTTTTTTTTGGTATACTTTTTTGACCATAAATACTTTGCCCTATTATTTTTAATTTCAAATTTAGTCACACTCCAAAATTCAAAGTTGAATATTAAAGTAAACAAAGAAAACTTCAAATTTAAAAAATATTATTGTATATTTGTCAACTGAAATTAAACAATATGACATGTTCCGCTTTGCTATCTTCCAAATTAACAGAAACAGTACTAAAACATGTTAACATTTAGGCCTATATTATGTTATAAATATTAAACCATGACCTAATCAAAAAACATTTCGCAAGCAAGCTATGCCTAATGAAAATATCTTAACTAAATATTTGTAGATATTCCGAAACTTATTTTGCATATAATAGATCAATGCACCGCTTAAATTGTATTTACCTAATATACATACAATAAGAAAATTACCTACACTCGTATATCATACACTGTGTAGATAGTTTCATAAAATTCAACAATTGTAATAGCAAAATATAAACTATGTTAAAGTTTATAATAAAATACGCCTTAATCATTTAAAATATTAAATATTTATTGACATATAGCGACTGCATTACACTTGTGCACTTAGAATAATTAATAGCATTTTTGGACAGATTTAAATTTTGATTTACACATCTATAATGAAGAAGTCTCCTATATATTTTTTTGGATTGATTATAAAAATTTAAGTATCAAATAAAAATATGTTTTTTTTTAAATATGTAAACAAATGAAAAACTTCGGAAACTTTAAAGATGCACTTGTAAAAATAACGTGACGTCACGCGACCTGAACCATCGAAATTTATTGATAGATTTCAAAAAAAAATCACTGGTTTATTAGTTTTGATCTTTAACACCTCCAGGTAAATTTCTAAGAAATCTATTGTTAACTGTAACGCCGGCGTGTCCGCGGTCTTTGAGGGAATATTATTATTCCATTGCGTTAAATATGATATTAACAACATCATGAAACTTCTCCATTAGTAATAACAAATCTCTTTAGATGACTAAATTTTAATATATTTTTATACATTACTAAACGTATGCAGAAATTTAACACAAGTGTAATCAATCGAAGTGAATAAATAGTACAAGTTAAATAAAAAAAATGTTGCCCTTTCATAGTACATTTGAGCGTGTTTAAAGCTGTTTAGCAACTTATTTACAACTACGTGAAAGTTATTTGTTATTCTGTAAAAACTCAGTATTCCTTTATAAAAATATTCGATTAAACTCACTGGTAGATAATGTTGCCAGGTATTCTAAATAATAGATATTCCAATATTTCACGCATATTTGGACCTCTTGACATTTTTATGAATCAATCCTTTCAAAAGACTTTTTTAACTGGCAACACTATCTTTTAAAGAGCTTATAAAAGATATAGAAAATTCTATCTAAAGTAAAGGCCATCTCGGTGTTTCGGTGACTATATCACATACTAATAGACACTACTTTCGTTTTTTAAAACTTCTATAAACCCTAAAATCTATAGTTTATCGTACAAGAAGTATTAATATCTGTATATGTTGGTCGTTTTAATGGTATTTATGAAATAAAAAGAAAATTGAACTGAATCTTAAATAACTAGTACAGATTGTGATTTATTAAAAAATATATGCAGATAATAGTTATTGTTATTTACTGTTCAGTAAAATATTATTGAGATGTATAAGCACCTGAAGCATTATTGGGCTATTATAAAAACTTTTTTTTAATATGATTTGAAATTTTTTAATATTGATCACTTCCAAAGTAATAAAATAATCCATGTGAATTCAAATTTCTATTAAATTTGAATGGTGGTTGGAACACTTTACATTTACTTTATTATCTGTATACAATTAACTAAGCTCAAAACGATGAAGAATATATAGACAAGGCGTCCAATCTCCATAAAGTTTCATATGAGAAATCAGTTTGCAAAATTTTTTAGAGCTATCAGTTCCAGATACTGCCACGAGTCGTACTGATGGATTTACGTAGCTATTTACGACGTGAATTTAGCTGTATGTCAGTAGCACGAAGTTAGTAATTAGCAAATAAGTGTGAGTTTAATTAACCTTTCTTGTCCTTCTTGGGACATAGCGACCACAGCGCTCTTTACTTAGCAGCATTATTTTTTCAAATTTTTGGGACTTTTACATAGAGAGATTGGACTCCTTATCAATATTCTTCATGCTCGAAACATAAATGTTTTAAACACCATAATAATGCATATATCTGCAAATAAAAATATAATGTAAATAAATTATAAAAAAATGTTAAATATATGAACCAATTTATACATAAAATAATTATATAGTAATAGTATCTGTACTATATGAAGTTTAGAGTTTTTAATATAAAATTATTTTTCATTGTTGGAATTTAATCTTTCATAGAGCAATTCATATCGGCATTGTTATAACAAAATTATAAATAATTTATGTTAAATACATAATAATCCTGCCTTTCACATTATTTACTCTCCTTGGACGAATGGTTATTGGTATCTTCAGTCTTTTCGCTGTCACTGTAGAACTTAGGCTGCAAAAAAAAAACATAGAATTAATGTTTAGAAAAACAAATGTTATATTTAAATTAAATGACTATAAAGAAAAAGAAATGTAAATTTATGATAAGTAGGAAATTTACATTCACATATGTAAGCGTAACAGTGGCATAACTTTCAGGTCAATTTGGAGCCATTACAGTGTGTTAAGCCCCTTTTATACTAAAGGCCCAATATAAAAATAGAACATTTATTGTGAAACTATTAAAGGTCACGATTTTATTATTATTTATTTTAATAATCGTCTATCTCATGCTATGTTGTTTATGAATTTTATAATAAAAGAACAAAATGTATTAAAAAAACAAACTTAAAACGGCACTAGTAAAATACAGTGAAAACTAACAAAAGAAAAGATATCATAAAAGCTTGTTGATTGGCTCAAGGGCATTAAAATGATATAAGGTGATGAATATACAAATAGACACAATCAATTTTGTTTCGTGTTTATAAAAATTGTGAATTACAATTAATTAAGCACAAAAAAAAAACAAAATAAATAAACACTTCAAACAATTAGTAAAAAAATAGGATAAAAATCACTCAATATAAATACATTTAAATTTGTTTTAGATATAAAGTACATAAATTCAAACACACGTACAAATTTATATAAAACAAAAAAAAATTAATAGCTATTCTGGCGGGGAAAAGATATGGAAAAAAGTCTCTTAGGGTTAGAAACTTCATTCAGTAATGCAAAGTGATAACTGCTATATTTTGAAAAATACACACAATGGAGAAAAAACATACAAAAACAAATCCAAAAAGCATGAGGTTCTAGACACTGGGCTCGACTTACAATATCAACATGTTACTATACAGTCGTGACTTTATTGCCGAGTCCGTTTTTCACACCGTTATAGCTTGTAAAACCCTAAAAATAAGTATATTTGTCACTGTGTGAACCATTTTCATTGTTTCAAACAATCTATACGTTGTTTATGTGCATATATTATTAAAATTCAAAATTTAATCAGAGGCCAAAAGAAAGAGTACATTAATATGGTATATTATAATTGACTTCATATACTCAGTATTAGCCATTATTAAGTCTATTTACTACAATTTAGTCGACGTTTTCATATAAAATAAATTTATTCATTTAATTATACAATCTGTTGAATTAAAGTTAAATTTTCAATAAAGAGTATTTATGGAAAACATAAACTGTCATAACTAAAAACACCTTTGCCATTCATTTCCTGGCAAAATTAAAAAAAAAATTGTGACAATTAAAATGTTCAAGTCACCTCGTCGTGTTTCTGGTCGGAGATGCGCTCGTCGTCGTCATCGCTGTCATCGTCGCCCGACGAGTCGCCGCCGGAGCCCGCGCCCACGTTATCTGACGCTTTCGCTGTTAAAACAGACAAACATACATTATTAGTATATGAACAGCGAAAAATTATAACATTTTCAACATGCTTTCAGCTTTTTCATAATATAACTATTATAAGTAACTAATACTTTTTTACATTAACGCTTATATTTGATATTTAAATAAAACTATCTTTTCCTTTTTTTTCGTGAGTTTATTTTGATTTTTGGTTTCCGACGTTTCGAATGCTTTACAGCAATCACATTCACGGGAGAGACTAAGGTGTTAGATATCTCAAAGGCATTATATATTTGTTACAGAGAGACTACCCACAAAAGATCATAATGAATTCAAAAAATTGAAAAATGGCACCAAAGTACCTTACAATAAGTATTTGTAAATGTTAATATTACAACATTTTTATAATTTTTATAATTGAATATGGAGTATTATTTATATCATTTTAGTTGTTATTATTATAATTATAAATTTTTTAGAAAAGATAGTTTTATTTAAAATATAACTATACTGGCGACTCACTCTCGCTTTGCTTTGCGTTCATCTCTAGACAAAAACAAATCTATACCACGCGAACCATACATTTTTCCGCCTATAGCCTTTCGCAATAAAGGGGCTATCTAATACTAAACGAATTTTTCAAATCAGATTAGTAGTTCCTGATATTAGCGCGTTTAAACAAACAAACCAACAAACTCTGCATCTTATAATATTAGTATACATAATAAAATTTTGGAAGTCTAATTAAAAAAATGCGAAAAAAGCTTCTATTTTAGTTTTTTAAACAAAACATTTTTTAAAACAAAAGTGAAATTATCTAACAAAAATAAAAATACTAAGTTAATAGTTTAATCGGATTCATAATAAGAATGAGCATGTATGCAAATGCGGACTTAGTGATTCAGAAATGATCGACAAAAATATTTAATGGCGCTCGAGCGTCACTAGAGACCTGTCATTTGTTTGAACTACAGAAATAAAATTAATAGGTCACTAGCCAAACTATTACACCCACTGTCAGTCCCATTCGATACAACCAGTGAGAGATTTAAGATGAGCAACCCATTACCATAATAATTAATTTGACCCGACTCAGTACCCGAACACAGTCTCAAGATGTCAAAATAAGCAGCCATCTAAGCCACTAGATATACAAGGCACGTATTACATAGTTACTGTTCTGTTATAAATTTCAAGAAATTAATTTATAATATTATTCAATAATTTTCATAATATTTTTATATACTTTAAATTGTGTTAATAGTATATTTATATTATGTGTATAATATGTATGTGTCATCTTTTTGCTAACTTAACCTAATGTTTTCTACTCTAATTTTGTTTTTCTTATTTATGAAAACTTAATTGATAAATGTATGTATTTTTTATTTTAAGTTTGTATGCTCTGTAAAATAAATAAATATAAAATCATTACAATTTATAGCACATCACGTCATGCAACGTGCCGTGTCACGTCACGTATTTTCAAATTACGTCAAAACATGACGCGTGACAAGATGACGTGGTACGTCACAGTTTGACGCGTGACGTCAGTGCGTCACTCACCGGGCGGCGACTGCGCGGGGCGCGCGCGGTCGCGGGTGAGCTCGTCGTAGCACTGCAGACAGACGCGCAGCGGCTTGTCGCTCTGCCCGCGCAGCACGTAGCGCTTGGACGAGCACGGCCCGCACACGACCGAACCGCACTTACGGCAATGGTGCTAGCGATTGGTTATAATAACGTCAGTTACTATTTATTATTATTTGATTAATAACTATAAATTTAATAAGCTGGAGAGTACAATATATCAATATCAGCGATTCGTCCTTCGTGTTCGTGTTCATCCCTAGCTTGCTTCCCAATACAAACTGTCATCCCCATTTTCAGGGATGATTTTTGGGCTAATATTTCCTTCCCAGGTCAAAATGTACATTTTAGTTGTAAAGAGATTTAATAGTCATAAATACATTTAACAATGCTTGCCATGCATTAACATATATATGTTAATTATATAATAAGTATACATATGTATACTTTACATGTTTAGTTGTTTTTATAAACAATTTATGTAACACTTATTAAATAGTTACATAATTTTTAATGTGTGCAATACTCACTCTCCTGTTGAGTACAGTGAATTGTGTCTTCTTGCAATGCATGCATATGGCGGCCTCATTGTCAGGCACCCACACTGCCGCATGCTCTAACGGGGGCTGTTTACCACCTACATAAGAATAAAAAAAAGAAAAGCAAAGATGAAAAACAGTAACTTTATTTCTTATTAATTAAATAGAATAAAGTCATAATTCGTATCTAATGTATTATTTCATGTAAATTATTAAAACAGTTAAAAAGGGTTTTCCAGGAAGACAAATATTTGGCAATTAACAATTATATTTCTCGCTTTTTCTGTATACTCATTTTACATTTATATTTTATATTCCTAACTCATATAATCCGAATCACCGACTGTCCACTTGACATATCAAAAATCTATTGTCAAAATCTACAAACTGGCACATGAAATAACTGAAAATTACATTATTACTTAATCTTAGAAACTATGCATTTTAGATGAGTAAAAAATGTATGTGTATAATGTTCAAATTTCCGTTCTCAGCACAATATATTTACATAATATGTCTTTATTTAGGTGACCTGACTTTACATACATATATGCATTGAATTCAATTGTTTTAATCCAGTGTATTCAGGTGATAGACTGTCAGGCTATAGGTATTATGAAGACTCTAATATAAGTAACATTAAATTAAAAATGAAGCACTTACTTTTCCTTAACAAATCTTCTATACATTTCTCTATATGGGCCATCCATTCCTCTTTCTCTGTAGCAGTGGCAGCATATACAGCAAATGATTTAGACGCAGTGCGAATAAGCCAACCATTACGGTATTCTAAAATAAATATAGTATAAGTTTATTTTTATTTCAATTATATAAATGGGAAATAACTCCAAAGGCAAAATAAATGATATCTTTTAATTCTTTTATATAAACTTATTTTAATTTGTTTTTTTTTTATATTTGATTTATTAGCTCTGGCATTACACAGCATAAGCCTTCTAGTTACTGTAACATTAGCCATTTTATATGTAGGGATAAAATATAACCTATGTCACTGAGATATAATGTAATAATTTAGTAGTGAAACAATTTTCTTAAGCAGTAAATCCAAAGTTTGCGACCTACATTTAAAACTTTCATAATAATGGTTTGGTATTTTTCTTATTCAATAATAAACTTTTTGATATACTATTTAATTACATAAGTCATCTTGTATGACTTAATATCATTTTATTAAATGCACCACCCAGTAAAATAGATTGGTTTTTACATTGTCATGTTGCAAAATATGCTGCACTATATATAAATCAATTGTTCTCTTGACAATATTTACCATACAGATAAGCAGTGTCAGTCAACTTTAGCATAAATAATGTGGTGTGCAAATTTAATGTAAATATTTATAAGTTCAAAGTTGACTCACTGACTAGCCACATTATATCAATGTCATTAATATACAACGAAAAATTGATAGTACTATTATAACATATTAGTCATCCCAATTATGACTCATTCTGATTATATCTTTCACATTTGCTACTTTAAATAAAATATTTAAAAAAATTGAAATTTCTAATTATTTTAAAGATTATAAAGTGTCAAGTGGTTGAACTTCGACCATGATTATTATTGATTTTTCTTAAAAAGGGGCATAAAGTTTTCACTTCATGTATATATAATTCTCAATTTGAACACAGACTTTTAACAATAAACAAAAGAGTATAAGTATATGCATGTGTGTGTCAAATACATGGTAGTGTGTGTAATGTATTTTTATGCATATTTTAAAAAAAATATTGCACTGCACACCTTCTCTATATAAACTATCAGTGTGGGAAATTTTGTACTCCCCTATCTGTGCAATTATCATAAATAGGGGTACAAAGTTTTTACTTCACTTATTAATAATATATAGATAATTAAGCTTGTTAGTAAAATAAATAACTTGTTTTTTTTTTTATTTGAGTAAATAGAGCAATGACTTACGCCCCTCATCTTTTAATGATTCCAATTTAACTTCTTCAAGTGGTATCACATGTTGTTTGTTATACTTTTTCTTATTTATAACAATGTTTCCATATACTAGTATATCATTAAAAAGGAAAAATTGACGGGCTTTTGGTTTCTTCCTGCACATTTTTGTTAGAACACCTTCTCCAACAAGGACCCGACCTTGTTCTGCTAAAGGCTAAAATTAAAAAAAAATGAATTATTGAAATAAGCACCTCAACATTTTGATAATATGTCCATGTATGTATAATTTAAAAATATCTTGGTCTTTGGTTTGACTTTAATGAAAGGACATGTAATAGATCTATTTTACATTACACATGTTGGATATTGAAAGAAATAATTTTTGTTTTGGATCTAGCCAACATTTATATACACATATGATTTTAAATAATTTATTATTTTGTCAATGTTTTCTGCTGTACAGTTGAAATTCATAATACAAATTACAAACTAAGAGCATTTGTTGACATTTTCACTGCAAGCTAGGATGTATTTCCTTATAATCATACATGGTCCTCCTACACATAATACTTAAGTCTTGTTGTTATCTTCATGATTCTTTTAGGATACCACAATTTAGTTATTTTTAATGTAATATTGATTGTTATTAAAACTTTCATTTATCTCCAATTAATATGTTTAGATATAAATTAATATTGTCAAGCTATGAAGTTATTATTAGGATAATTTTAATATTAATTTTAGTCTTTGATACTTTTATTTATAAAACAAAAGTGAAAGTTTCCGTAAATGACATTTGTCGCAATTTTTTAATTAAACGTTTAAAAAATTATGTAAATAAACCTTACTCATGACTTCTTACTTTTAAATTTATATTAGTAAATTATATCACAATGATAAAAATGTGATATCCTTGTGCAAATTCACGTACCTAATGAATGTTTATCTTGTCCAGTTTGTCGGTTGATAAAAGGAGAAACGCAAAGTTGGAAAGTTAAATATCATGAAAATAAGCAAAATAACACACCTGTCCTGAACTGCCGAAGCAGTTTTCCACCATAGCAATTCTTCTAGCATTAGCCTCACTATTCACTGAAAAAGAAAAACAATTCGTAAAACTGCGGTAGAGCTTCAAAAATTGACGTCAAAGGAAAGTGTTAGTGAACAATGATAGTGATCCACTATGATACAAATGTAAAAGTATTACAGAGCGTTGCCAACGTAGTAACTATGGTATTCGATTAAACTAAATATATAATAGCTTGCCTACCTAAACGGTCAACCATTATAGTAACTTATATTCAGTTTACACAGCGCCGAGACACAATTGACGATATAAACGAGAAATATGTGTCATTCGCAATTTAGATTTCAGACAATGTTGCCATAACATAATCATTAATTTATTTTAAGTTTAAAAATTACTAATGCAAAAAATAAATAAAATGAACAAACAAATAATTTTAAAAATATTAAAGAAATAAAAAAGCTTGTACTGAATATAATACAGTTTAATACATTATTCGTAATGAGGCAGATTATTCAAAAGGAAAGGCGCCACACGTATCGTCTATCTACATTCAATCTGAGGTTAAGCAATTTATTGTGATATCTATTTTGTACCTGGTTTTTTTGCTTCTATTGTCCTCGCATCTTAGCTATGTATTGGAGCTGGAAGTTAAGTTAAGGGGAAGGAAGAATTGAGAATGGGAGGTGCATCTTGTGGTGGTCCTGGCTCCTGACTGGTGGGAGAAACGTGAAATTTTAAGTACGTATACTACTACTATATGATACATGCATCCGATAAACAAGAAATTTTTCAAAATTTATCCTATAAATGGGTAAAATAGTATGATACTCTGTCATTCTTAATGTGAAATACACAAAAAGTGGTGTATAACAGTAAGGTAAAAAATAAGAAATATATTTATTTGATTTTTTTTGAAATTAATCCCGTAAAAGGGTAAGGGGGTAATAAAGTTTATATGGGCAAAGAATTATTTATGATCATAATCACTTAAAACTTGGTATTAATACGCTTCAATACAATTAAATAAATACGTGTTTTAGCATTTTCTGAAATTCAATCCCGTAAAAAAATATTCATCTGTAGACGATTTAAGAGTTTTAAAATCATTTTCTTTAAAATGATATCCACATAGCCTTAAATATAAAGATAGAGATTTCGCCAATTTTGACCCTGTTATTGCTTTAGCCTACAATTTCTTCAGTTTTTGTATTTTGGTAACAAATGATTTCCATTTTCTTTGCATCCTGGCACTGTACAACTTGTCATTTTAATTAAATTTTAAATAAATTAAAAAAATCCATCCACGCTTTTATATAGCTTTACAATATACTGAGGGCAATATTGATCACGACATCTGGCGGGAGAAAAAGGCAAAATTCTTCCCCATTAGTTTTTTTATTGACAATTTTATTTTTTAAATATTAATTTTATAATTTTGTATTAATTTACACGGTATATTTATTCAAGGTGACAGTGAAAAATTTAATATTTTATTTATTTAGTTGTTGTAGTTCAATTTGAAAAATCAACAATACATTTTTATAAATTTTTACTCTAGACCATAGACATGAACGATCATGTGAGTGTCCATTTTTTTTGTGGTTTTTGACACTTGCTGACAGGCAGTGGTCGATAAAATAATAAAGTTGTTCGTAATTTTATAAAATAAACGAACAAAAATGGCCTGTAAAATCTGCGGCCCTAAATTGTCGCTGTGTGGACTCGTTTTGAGTGTATGGGGCATTATACAATTGGTAAGTAATATTAATGAATGACCAGAAAAAAATATATATCATCCACAAAAACCTAATAAATACTTGTGTTTCAGACTTTGATGGGCGTCTTCTACTATATTGGAGCAGTAGCTCTATTAGAAGATCTTCCCCTTGGTGAAAATCATCACAGCATCGATGCTTTTATAGCTGAAGTAAAGAGTGGATACTCTCAGGTAATTTTTCCTGTCCCATCAAAGATACTTGGTTAAAATAGCCTAGAACTTAACGTTTATACTTCAATAAAAATAAATCGAAATTCATAGTTCCTTTGTATTGGTAAAATTTAATTAATGCTAATTTTCATGTTAGGTTGTGTTAAATTTATAATAGTTATAACTACATATCTATTTTTCAAATTAGGTCTATTCTAATATTAGGTCAAATATTTTGTGATTTTAAAACTCTTCAATACATTAATATTAAAAGTAGATTTAGTTAAAAATTATATAATTATTTTATTCTTAATTTATGAAATGTCTACATCAGGAACTACAGATATGCGATACCAAATTGTACATTAACAATTGCACAGAAACAGTCATTGCTAAGTCAAGGTCATTTTTGGAAATGTTTTATAATTACATGTACTAACAAGATTTTGAAAATATATGGCTTTTAACATTTAAAGCAATTGCAATAAAAAGAGTTTACAATATTAAGAAGGATTTTTTATATTTTCAGAATGCTTACAACTGTTGGATTGCTGCATTGCTTTATGTTATCACATTAGTCGTCTCTGGCCACCAATTCTGGATGAACAATCGTTCTTCAGTTAGCATGTAATTGTAACAAGTACTGCCTGAGTACAGATATTTTGTTTATAGCTCCATTCCATTTAATTTGATTAGAAAAATAAGTGGGCATTGGTATACTTCTATAAAGTAAAATCCTATAGTATTTTATTTTTCTAGAAAATACTATAATATAGGGCTTGTAAAAAAAAATATTTATTGCAGTACCATTGCTATATATGAATTACATTACATGAATCTTCTTCATAAAATTTTTAAAGTCCCTTAATAAAAATATATTCTTGTATAAATTGCAACAGAGACTTCATTAGTCATGATAATACAGATAGTAAATTTTAATTGTAAAACTTACTTTTTTGTTGTAAAATATAATATTAATTTTACTGGTTATTGAAAAATCCCTAATTCCATAAAAGTATTATGTTGAAGTATGTTCACTATAAATTGTACATAAAATAACTATAATTATTGTAGGTAAAATGGTTCTATAGTTTTTCTTCAATTAAATATTAATGTTAAATACTGTTTTTTTTTAAATTTATGCTATAATTTTTTGTTGTCTTTAAGACAAGTAAATACATCTAAGTATGTGGTTTTTCTTGAATATTTAATTAAAATAATTATTTAAATATAAGATTATTTCCTTGTAGTAACATTTTCCTTGAGATACAATTTTGGTAATAATTGGCTTTTTTCCTGTAAGATATATAGTAAAATATAATTGAATATAGAAAACTATACATATAATAAAATTGTAACTAAGCTGAATCTGTACATTAAATATTGTTTGGAAAATCTTATTGAAATAAATATTATTATCGATACAGAGGCTGAATCTATAGTTTTTAGAATTTTTGTCTGTCTGTCGGTCTGTTACCGCATCACAGAAAAACCACTGGAGGGATTTTGATGAAATTTGGTATGGTGATAGCTGGTTAACCGGGTCAATATATAGGATACTTTTTACCGCGGGAAAATGTCTTATTTCTGAGAAAAAATACAAAAACTGCATTGTAAAAGTATACTAAAATGTAAAACCTAAGAATTTGCTTTTTGGTCATCTGAACGCGGGCGGAGTCGCGGGCAATACTAGTGTGTATATAAAACAGTCGGGTTTGTTACAACTCTTGAGAACTGCTGGACCGATTTTTATGATCTTTGTTTTATATGTCTTCACTCCGAAAAGCAGATTAACTATTAAAACATCGGAAAATTGCACGAAAAAAAATTGAAAAAAAATATATCTATATACTAAGCGTCAAAAAGTACCTTAAAAGAGTAATACAATTATTACAATTTTATAGGGGGATGTGATGTCAATTTAAAAAAGTTTTTAATTGTTTTTATGTAACATTGCCAAAATGTAACAGTCAATTTTCAAACATCAACAGCAAATCAGGGCAAGTTTGAAAGTATTTGGCTGGGCATTAAAAGTATTTTAGACAAGTATAACATTAATCTATAACAAATATGAGTTTATTATTTGGATGTGGTCTTTGCTGCTTTCTATTAAGTATTTGGGCAGTCATCCAATTGGTATGTAATATTTTTCCTTCCTCATTGTTTGTGGTTAATGTGGTTAGCTTATATTGTGTACTGAATTGGCTGTGAGCTCGTATCCATCTTACGATAAAGATTAACTCTGTCAAAGCTTTACCTTATATAAATGAATTCTCATTACTTGCTTAGAAGTAAGTAATAATAATGTCCTCCGCCGATTTCGACCAAGGCGGTTAATCTCATTGAGACTAGCCATCAGCGCAGGAGATAGGTATTATGGTGCACAAGTATGTGCGCATACACAAGCGCACTCTATTCTTGTCACTCTATGCTACTAAGTCTGACGGTTTTACGTGCTTTCGAAGCAGGGGGTAAAACACCACATAACATTATTATATCTTTAGCTTTGTTGAATAGGTTCGGTGAGAAAGAGAGTTAGATGCCTAATACATTCTGCCTGAAGTATAGTATTATTAACTTAAATTATTTTTTAAAGGCAGTGGTAGCCCAGTGGTAACGCGCTCGCTTGGGAAACCTAGTGAAGCGAGTTCAAATTCCGGATCTCGCACCTCCGACTTTTTCATGTGCGAATCATTTCCAACATGATTACCACTTGTCTTAACAGTGAAGGAAAACATCGTGAGGAAACCTGTATGTCTGAGAGAACCTAGCAAGTTTTCAAAAGACATGTGAAGTCCGCCAACCCGCACTTGGCCAGCGTGGACTATAGCCTGATCCCCCTCGTACTGAAGGAATGCCCGTGCTCGGCAGTGGGACGTTAAAAAGGACTGAATACATTTTTTAAAGTAAATTACATTGAAACTCATTTGGCCATATTTCATAAGCCTCGCTAAAATTTACACGTTTACATTTAGGCAAGGTCAAATTCACTTTTGTGTACGTCGATACATTCATTATCAAAACCTTTTTATTTAGGTCATAAAATAATGTATAAATTACAGTTTGTAATGGGAATATTCTTTAAAATGGAAGTTTTAGCGTTTATAGAAGAGGCTGAACCCGACCACCACGGTTATGATGACTATGATGACTTCATGAGGCAAACAAAGGAAAATTACCAAAAGGTAAGTATACAAATCAAAACACTTTGTTGTAGTTTTGGTGAAAATTGATCTTCACTCATCCACATATTTACAAAGATCCAATTGTTACTTATTTCACCATTTATCAACTTTCGATGACGATTTTACAAGTGGTTTCATTGTCGTATATTTGTAATATTTTGAGACAATATTATAAAAAAAAAACATAAAGTAACACAAAAACTCATTTAATAGCAAGTAGCTATAAGCTTTTAGATAAGGTCGATGAAGGATAAGACAGCATCAAAATATGGCCCTTGATCAGTCAGGGTAGAGTTAGAGTAAAAATTAAAATTGACAAAACAAACATACAGACAAATATTTCAATAACTATTATTTTGGGGTCTATATTCTGTACACAATACGTAACAGTCATTTTTTATATATTCATGGAATTCACCGTACAGATTTCGCTTTGTTACTATTTTATTATATGTAGAGTTGGTACCTAGATGTTAAAATTTCTTTTTTTTTGGTTTTTGTTTTTTAAATTGGTTGTATAGAACATCTATATTTTTTCAGATAGCCCTTAACTGTTGGATCGCAGGATTAATATATTTAGTTACTTTGGGCCTGTCATATTGGTGCATGAAGCACGCTAAAAAAAGGGAAAGACTTGCAGCGGAACGTGGAATAGATGATGAAACATATTGTAAAGAAAAATCGAAGAAATCCTGAGCTATAATCCCGCGTAGGCTTTCATTCATTTCTCAACTTATTTTAGGTTCTTTGAAACAAAAATGACGATTTATTACTTTGTTTCAAACATTGCGTCAAAAATATTTTTTCAATATTCATTAGGTTATTTAAATTTCAACGTTAATTTAAACTTTAATTTAATATTAAGGATGTTATAATTGTGTTTGTTAAGAATAAACAAATTACTAAATAATTTACATATCTACCAATTTCCTGTTTACATTTATACGGAAATCTGCAATTCTAAAGAGATGGCCCTTAAAAAAAACAAAGGATATTCTACAGTTTACTGGTTATCTATTTTTTTAAATGAATATACAAAATATCATTTGACTTCTTCTAATTTTCTGTCGAAAGTAACAGTTCCCATGTTTACACTTTTTATTTCCTCTTTACTAGCGTGAGCATTATCCTGCAATTAATGAAATTTTCTTTTAATAGTTTATGTAATTAGTACTTGGGCGACCGAGCTTCGCTCGGAGTTTTGGCCGGAAGTAGGTACAATTTTCTTTTTTTTTAAATAAAAATTTAATTTATTTAGTTTATGGAAATTTTATCTACATTTTTTAAATAAAGATATCGCATAGCAGACATAAAAACATACAACCAAATTGAATACCACTTCATTTTCGTCGGTCAAAACGGCCATGGACTTGAAAATTAATAACTAATTCTCGATTCATTTAGCCTTTTATGTTAAAGCTCCTATTTTAAAAAGTTATGTTATATTATTTTATTTATCCTTAGGGAATCAATCTGTGGATCGGGATAAAATGTAGCGGTTGACTTTCGCCAATTTTATCACGATTAGTTGAGATTTGAGACATTAAGGGCCGTAATATCAATTACAGATTAACTAATCTACGTAGTTTAAAACTGACATTTCCAGTATAAAATATGACACTGACAAGAGGTTAATCTCTCGTCGGTGGTATAAGCTGCCATTGATTACGGGCCTAAGAGGTAACAAACAAATCCATTTTGAAATATATAATCTTAAGATACTCACAGGATTGGCATTTTGTTCTTCGTCTTTTGTAGTTTGATTGAGATTAAGCCAGGGGTCAGCAAGGATTTGTGGGATTTTTGATCGTAATTTTAATGGAGCTAGAATTTTCATGATAAGTTTTCGGCATTCTATTGACACTTTAGGCTCGCGTGGGAACGATACTTTATTTTGAACTTGCTAAAATGGAGTATTATAATTTTAGAAATAAATTCTAGAAACTTCGTACTTTTTTTGTTTTCTTACTACACGTGCTGAAGACGTCTTCCAAACAAGGTCACATACTGCAGGGTCTGAGCAGAATTGTCTACTTCTATAGAGAATGCAGGATCTATTCGCCCACAAGGCGAATGCTTATGTAATTATTTTTATTTAGTTTATGTATAAAAAATAGATTATTAAATTATTAGAAAGAAATACTAGCAACTTCTACAAAATAATGTTTTATGATGACGAGTTCTACAACATGACAGGGCCTGAATGTATGGAACTGTCTACTACAATGGACGCGAATTCTACGCGTACCACGCTAATATTTATGACAAATATTATTATTGTTTCTATCTGGTTTATCCAAACTGAATGACTCCATATTATCGTTTTTCTAACTTGTATTAAAATCAAGATGGTTTCATCATAAATTTCAAAAAGACTAGCGGCTCAACCTTGCTTTGCTCGGGTAACCCTCTAGAAAAATCAAAACAAATCTATTCCACGAGAACCGTACATTTTTCCGGGATAAGAAGTAGCCTATATGTTATTCTCATGTATGAGTTATATTATTGTAAAGTTTCATTAAAATCCATTCAGTAGTTTTTCCGCGAAAGAGTAAGAAACATCCATAAATCTATACATCCAGACATCCATACATCCTAACAAACTTTCGCATTTATAATATTAGTAGGATATACCCCCAGATATAGATACGGTATAATCTCAAGTTGACCCGCGATAGTTACCATTTGCTATAAGATAACATAGGATAGTGAATAATTACTGCCGTCTCGGTTTCAATTTACCAGGCGTGTACTGTAACTACATCCAAATAATGGGCAACAAATCACTGTTAGTATAACTTCGTTACTACAATATTGGTATAATTTCAACAATATTACTAAACACAAACAATACCTTCAGAAGTTGCGTATAGTTCGTATCATCAAAAGGCAATCTGCCGTAAACAATAGCATAAAGTACAACTCCCATGCTCCAGATATCGGAATCTTGAGGTCTATACGGTACACCCTTTAATATTTCGGGTGACGCATAAGCATAGCTTCCACAAAATGTTTCACTTAACGCATATACTCCGTTTTTTGGTTTCATATGCCCCCTCGCGAAACCGAAATCAGATAGTTTAATGTTCAAGCCATGATCCATTAGAAGGTTTTCGCATTTAATATCCCTATGGACATAATGATTTTATTAATCCAAATAAATCCGCGAAAAAATCCAAAAACATAGTTTTATTTAAAATGATTTAATTAATTTAAATTTGTGGTACCTATCTTCGAGGCAAAATAATAAGTTTGTAGCAGAGTTACAGTTACTCTACATTGTTTTTTTAAAGAATAAGATTTTAGTGTGGTTTATGATGTCTTGTTGAAGTGGAAGATTCACATTTTATCTATGTGTTATCTATAGGTAACGGAAGGTCTTGCTTAGTATTTGAAGTATTGACTAGCATTGCCCGCGGCTCCGCCCAAGACCAAAAACCAAATTCTTAGGTTTTACATACTAGTACCTATACTCTTACATTGGAGTTTTTGTATTTTTTTCAGAAATGAGACATTTTCTCGCGGTAAAAAGTATCCTATATATTTACCCGGATAGCCAGCTATCATCATACCAAATTTCATTAAAATCCCTCCAGTGGTTTTTCTGTGAAGCGGTAACAGACAGACAGACAAAAATTCTAAAAACTGTAGATTCGGCCTCTGTATCGGTAATAATGTTTATTTCAATAAGAGTTTCTAAAAAATATTTAATGTACAGATTCGGCTTAGTTACAATTTTATTATATGTATACGTAAAAGAAATAAAAACTTGTTGATAGGACATAATATACTTATATTTAAGATTTCAAAGAAATTTTCACACTTTTTGAGACATACTTACTAAACTATTTTTTTAATTAAATACTGTAACAAATATTTTGTACGGTTTATCCGAGTTTAGTGATCCACGTGATTATTGACGACTTATTTCTGTAATGTTTTTGGGTAATGAATTATTTGTATATAATTATATAACTAACCGATGTACAACACCTCGTTCATGGCAATATTCTACTGCTTCTACTAGCTGCCTAAACCATCTACGTCCACGTGACTCGTCTATATGTTGATCTTTACGAATTATATCTAAAAGGCTGCCATTTTCTGCATATTCCATTACAATATATACTCTGTAACATAATATACATAGTAGATAAAAAATAGGAGTGACAGAAATCGAATTCCAATGCGTAGTTTTTTAAAATAAATAAGTTGATTTCTACAGACCCTTCAAAGAAGCTTATATTTGGATCCATATGTTAATCTTCGAAATTTTGGTTAATAATCATTATTTGTAATTTAAATTAACCAGATTTTTAAATTAGCAAATATAAGCTACTAGAGTTTTATAAAACAGAATCAGAACCTATGAGTAGTTTCAATTGCCTGTAGAAAGCGTATTAAGTTTTCATGCTTCAGTCCTTTAACAACTTCTATTTCTCTTGGAAGAAATTTCTTCAAATAGTCACCGGGTGCTTGAAACTTGCTTATAATTTTTATTGCCACTTGAGAATTGTGTCTATCACTGGTGGCTACCTAACGTACAATATAACGAATGTAGGTATTTTAAACTGGAATATTGATTTTTAAGGCTTATAATTTTTACTATGCATGAATTGAAAATAAGTGAATTAGAATTAAAAATGCAATACGAAAAATTAGCTAAGGAATTATTTTTCTGTTATAAAAATATTTAGGTATATACCTACCTTCACAGTGGCATATGATCCCGAGCCAATAGTTCGACCTAAAATATAACCATGGGTTTCAAGAACAGTTAATTTTCGTTCTGTTTTAGCTTCGACACCACTGTGGACGGCAGCCGTGGGCTCAGTAGACATCTCGGCATGAACATTTTCATCGGCTCTTATATCTGGCCCTGGCATGTCATAGAAATATTATTAATTTTGAATTTTTATACATTTAAAATAATTTTATAATTTAGAGACATTATATCTATTTTTCACAAAAATTTTGTAATTCAAGTCATTATGGCATATTGTCAAGTGCTGATTTTTGAGTGACACAGAAACAAAATTTGAATGTGGTGCGATATTTTTATACCCATATACCTAAATATTTGCCAGTATTTTAATTTATAATAATTTTACTACGTATACATATTATTACGTTACGTGCGGCTAAGTTTGGGATAATAATACAGATACATAAAACGACTAATATAGTTTTTATTTATCCGTTACAGTCTTTTTCATGTGTGATATCCATCAGCTTGTAAAATATATAATATATATTAGCTAACTGCATTGTTGGGACCTATAGTGGCTACCATGTATAAGTGTTGATCGTGAGTTCTAAGCCCTTAGGTTCGAGTCACGGGTCGCGGGTCGGGCCAAAATTGTTACTTGATTTTTCTGTCTTAAAATTCATTGGTGGGCAGAATTTGGGAAGTTGGTGAAGTGTGGCTCTGCCTAGGTGATTTTTGAATTTGTAAGTAGGATAAAATGTTTCCAGAACCATGTTTGGACTTTAATTTTATTAGTAAGTACTCAATTTTTACTCTTAAATTACTTCTTGAGTGAAACTGAAATGTTACGATTAAATATAACTTTGTGAAAATGTTTATTTTTTTATTTTTATATCCTAGTAAAATAAAAAATGAAAGATTTTTTGGAATTAAAGTAATTTTACTATTCCCTACGCTTTCCCGTAAACTGTAGTAAAAAATATAAAGATATTTTAAAGTTTCACAAAAAAAGGCATATTGATATTGTGTAAAATATGTGATAGTTTACACTACGAGTATCCAAGCGCATCCCAAAAACTTATTAAATGCAGCTGTCGTTATGGCAGCTGTTATCGGTTCTAAAATGGCGGCATAACAATAACAAGTTAAAGGTTATTATTTAGATGTTCGTATAAATTCGTTTAATTTATAGAATAACAAAAACTTTTTAACTCGGGTGTATTTAGATAATTCATTTTGTCTTGAAGTGAGAATAAGTGATATGGACAAAATTTTGATTGTGAACTAGGTTATTTGTGGACTTAATATTTTGTAAACACTGAAGACTTATTTTAGGGCTTGAATAATAGGTGAGATAATTTAAGATAGATGCATGAGTAGTCTTTGATATGTGTATTTGATTTGAGATTCTGTAGTGCTAAGTGCAATTTTTTATTTTATATTCTAATGCTTAAAATGAAGTTGATACTAATATTATCAAGTTGTTACACCTTACTCTTATGTTTTGTTAATTTAAAATTTATTTCATTATGTTTTAACATCAATTTGTTAATATTTTTGTGCTATTTATGTTTGTAATATAGTTTTTTGCACAATAGTTTGTATGAATTTTAATGAGAATAAACAATTTAACTCTATTTCTTGTTTTACTATTATTGCTATTTGCTTTTAATCATATTAGTAAATTAGATTAGTATCATACATAATATGGAAATGTGATGAATGTTTAACATTATATAAGAACTAGCAACTGACCCTCGCTTTGCTTGGGTTTGTCCCTAGGTTGCTTCCCCATACAAACTTTCATCCCCATTTTTTATCCTCAAGGGATGATTTCAGGGATAAAAGCCATCCTATGTTCTTCATAGGGCCTTAAACTAACTTCTTACCAGATTTCATCTCATTCGGTTCAGTAGTTTTGGAGCATATTCAGTACAAATAAACTAACAAACAAATCTTTCCTTTTTATAATATTACATATAGTATAGGCAATATTCATTTAAATTAAAATATAATTAAAAGTGGAATCTTATTTTTTGCTATAATGATGTCATTTCACCCTTCAAATACCAATTAATATAACTAATTAGTTGATTGAGACAAGTAATTATTATGTGTATTATAACTAAAAAATATATTTTATAAAGTTATAATTGAAGTAAAGAAATAGAAATGTGTCTGAAAGGCAAATGCTAATATTTAAATTGACTTGTTTAATTGACATAAACTACATATAATTCAGTTTTCTTGTTAATGGTTTCACAGCATGCTAGTTTAGTACAGATTACTTTGCTAATGTCATGTAGAATAAACTACATATTTTCTGTGAATTTCTAATATCTCCTAACTAGCATATTGGCACAAAACTTTATTTTAATGCTATCATTTGGCAAATGCAACATCATACTAGCTACATTTAAATATGATAATATAAAAGGATGTAAATACCAACCAACTACCAAAATACATATTTTTTAAAATTAATAAATTGGTTTTATGTTCCTCCTGTAAAATTTGTAGATAAAAGATCTCAGAAGTTCACGGACGTTATAGCATAACAGTCATTCATGTAGCAAAAGATTTCATTATTTAGAGCAATAATATATAGCAATATACATTCATGAATGGTTTATAAAAGTACTTTTTAGGTTGCTCAAAATAATAACAATTATATATATATATATATACATATATATATATATATATATATATATATATATATATATATATATATATATATATATATATATATATATATATATATAATATATATATATATATATAAAGGGTTAACCAGAGATTTTATATAATCTATTCTCTGGCTTATATCAATTAGGCACAAGTTTAGTATACAGGATGGATTTTTGAGACGGGACAGGAAGGGCAGGTACCTTAACTGCAATAGGTACAGGAAAACGTTCTTAGGATACCATCCATAACTTTTTGAGATATTCTAAACTGCGTTCACAGATTTTGGAAAAAATGCAAATGTGAGCGAAAAAAAAAATGCAAAAATATAAAAAAAAATTTTTTTATGTCAATCGATCCTATTTCATGTAGGTATCAAATGACTCTATGGGACCATATAAGGTATGGTACTACAAATGACAGAAATCGCCAAAAACTTTTCCCATACATTTTGTACAGAAACACGATTAATCAACTCAAAAAATTCTGCCAAACTTTTCGCTCGGGTTCGTCCCCAGCTTGCTTCCCAATACAGACTTTCATCCCCGTTTTCACGCCTTTAAGTGGTGATTTCCGGGATAAAAAGTATCCTGTGTCCTTCCCAAAGTCTCAAACTATCTTCTTACCAAATTTTATCTAAATCGGTTCAGTAGATCCAGAAATTACCCTCTACAACGTCACAAGCTCACGAGCTCACAAACTTTACCTCTTTATAATATTAGTATAGATTATAGTTTATTATCACATTATTGTGTAAACTTTATATTTGTTTTATATCCCTTTCAGTTAAAGTAGCTCCGCCATAAACACTGCCCCAGCTGCATAAATATATACTAGCAACTCACGCTCGCTTCGCTCAGGTTCGGCCCTAGGTCCCCCCCAACGTGCGTTCACCTTGTCGTGGTGGGGGGGCTCAGTAGTAGTAGCGAAGCTAAGAAACGCACAGGGAGGTTGCCCACTTCGGTGGGCGGTGGGAGGTGGCCCTCTTCGGGGGCGGTGTACCTTGCGGGTTGCTCCTGGTACTTCTCTGATAGCAGAGTGGACCTTGGAGCAACCCCATGGTTGTGGTGGTCTGCTTTGGCAGACCTGCCGTCGGGGCGTCGTAGTTGAATGCGTAAGCGATCCTGCGACGCCCCATTATGACGGGGGAAGGTTTTGTTGGGTTTTAGTGGGTAGTACTGGCTGTATTACGCCGGTGAGTCCCACACGTCGTGCGTAAATGCATTTCCCAACGTTAAAAAAAAAAAAAAGGTTCGGCCCTAGGTTGATTTCCCATACAAACTTTCATCCCCATTTTCACCCCCTTAAGGGATGATTTCCGGGATAAAAAGTATCCTATGTCCTTCCCAGGGTCTCAAAATATCTTCTTACCTTTAATCTAAATCGTTTCAGTAGATCCAGATATTACCCCCTACAACGTCACGAACTCACAATTCACAAACTTTACCTCTTTATTATATTAGTATAGATGAATTAATTATAATTATTATAATATGGAACTTAAAATATTATGACAAAATGAGTACGTTAAAATTTTGAATTATCCTGGTGTAGATTTTCATATCATACTTAATGTAAACATTTCAAATAGATTATGATGTAAATAACTTAACAAATTGATGACAACAATTTTGAAAGAAATTAATTTCCCATGATAAATGTAGTGCAGAATTGAGATAAACCATGATATGTCTTTGAAAAGCTATTAAACTGTTATAAAAAGTTGCATAGAACGTGTTTTAAGGAATATGTAAGCCTAGTATAGATGGAAATATTTTTTGACAAGTTCGTTTGTGACAGAATTTCAAGTTGAAAGCTTTACGTCATTCGGTATCTGAATACAATGAAAACAATTGCTATGATTTTATCGGACGGTCGTGCGAATCTTGTCGTACGCGTCCCATATTCGGTCCTCCACTTTTAACATCCATTTATCGAGATCCCTCTCGCGGAATTTTCAATTCCAACGCTAAAGCAAATAGGGTTTTGACTAGGGTCTTTCCACACTGGACGTATGGAATACTTTTGGAATACTTCGTTCGATGACCCATTTTCGTGCGTTTGCCTCTTTTTTCACGCTTTCATTTAGAAAACGTATTTCTAGAGCTCGCCTGGTGCTTTTGTTATCGTAATAGCGAATGTTGCTCTGTATGTAAGCTTAACTTTTATTTTGATATATATACCAGATTCGTTAATTATGTAGTACCAATGTTCTAATATTAGTATTAAATATGTATCGTGTTATAATTGGTACTTACAATTAAATTAAGAAACATTTTAAAACATCTACACAAGCAATTTCTTATAAATCATAGTATAATTTTACATGACCCTCAGAACACGGCAGACAATTTTACGTGGACTTTTTCTATGTATCTTCTAATTATAATTTTCTATATATTTGTATATTAGGAATAGGTACTTATACATAATCAGATGTGTAAAAGAAACAATGAATATAAAACAATATATTTATATAAGTTTGTATAG